TGGTCAGTATATATCCCAATTTCAAGTATTTCGTGTAGAGCTCTATATTTGGACAATGTTTTTATTGTTTTGACACATGAACACACCCTTAATATTAGATAAGTCGGCGAGTGACTAAAACAATCCAGCAAGTGAACGATTTGTTTTTCACCGATTAACACGTTTTAAAACATGCTAAGGTCATATCTCGGAGGGATTTCCACGTAACTGCCTTTCCTAGATAATTACCAGTTGTTACAAATTTCTCCTCATATGACAGACTGCTATTAAACCAATATGATTTCTGAAAAGCAAACAAAAAATATTAGGATTCCTAACAGAAAGGTCAAATCAAAATTTGTTTAAAAAAGTCCATACTGTACAGTAGTCCTTATAAATTCAGAGCCGAGCTTGAATATGGTTCTGATCAATGTATGGTCTCCCACACAAAACACAAATAAATCAAATCAAAAATATAGGAAGGAGAGCTGCCCATTTGGTCAAGCTTTACAACAGTTAGACCTCTACTGTAACGGACATGCTCCTCTCTCTTATTTAATCTGCGCCAAATTAAAATGACATATAGATACAAATTTATCTCTTCTACAAAATTCACCATTGTCTGGTTGCTATCCCCATCGAAAAGTACTTGATCTTCGTCTCAAAACATCACACCATTGTCATCCCCTGAAGTATTCATGTAGTTCATGTAGTATCCAGGCCAGAACATCATGAACAGGAGGATTCTAAGTTGAGCTTCTTAGGCCAATTTGGGAGCGTTTTCCGTTCTTGTTATTTTCATCCACTTCTTAAAAATCTTTGTTAGGGTTCCCATATTATTGCGAATGTTTATTTGTATATCAATCCTCTATTTATTATATACACAATATCAGTTTCTTTTCATCTTATAGATTATGTTTACACATAAATTTTTCTTGTTAAAAACAACTGGATGCGAATCTTTTTGTTTATTGTTTACTGATTATTGTAACTTCACTGGGTTTGATAGCAATTTGCATTAAACCCATAGCTTATTCAATTGTGTCTTGAATTAATTCAATGATGCTACTACAACTCTATGGCTGAATGTGTTTTTCTTGTATTATTCCTTGCTCTTGGCTTGAATATTTTATACTTTTGACCTCTGGTGGTGGCTCCTCCTATTTTTAATATTTCCTTATCTATTTCCTTGTCAATGTTGTTAACTATTTTATAAGTTTCAATCATGTCTGCTTTATTTATTCTGTATTCTAAAGTTGAAATGCCTAATTGTAACAGTCTTGCGCTATATTCTTTACTTGATGAATTTTGCAGGTATTATTGCTTGAGTCTTTCATAAAATAATCACGTGGTATGTTTTGTCCAATATGCATAGTTTTACATTTTTTTTGTGTGGAAGATCATTCCAATTACACGCTTCAAATATATTGTTGAATATTTTGCTGAAGTTGAGCCTCGTCATTGTGCCCATTAATGACAAAATATAGTTAAGTGTCGTCTGTAAAGAGTTTAACTGTACAAGTAATTGCATCTGGAAGATAGTTTATAAATATTAGGAATAGAACAGGTCCTAGTACACTACCCTGAGGGATACCACTTGTTACTGTTTGCCATCCTGAAAACGTTCCATTTATCTTTACTCTTTGTTGTCTGTTTTCCAAAAAATTGTTGATCCATTCATAAATTTTACCTCTTATACATAAGCTCCAGACCTTATTTAGTAGTCCCCTGTGAGGGACCTTATCGAATGCAGCTTTGAAATCAAGGTACACAATATCACACCCTTCGTCTATTCTTTAGACCAGTCTTCAATACATTCTAAAAGTTGTGTGGTGCAAGACCTTCCTTTCCTAAAACCATGTTGATATATAGACAGTAGATTATTTTCCTCTAAGCGATTTACAATAGCATTTCTGATTATTTTTTTCCATAATTTTCCATATTAATATTGATGTTACTTTAGGTTATTTTCAGCAATGTAAGACTATTACAAATTCTCTTATTTTCATAGGGCTGTTTGCCATTGAACTTCAGTTGCTCTGCTCATCCTTAAAGCTGTTCAATGTAGCGATATTTAGCGTTGAACATGTTTCACCCTAGTTTATAAGCCCTTGTGATTTTAATCTTTTCTTCTAGCTGTTATCTTCTTTTAAATAACTCTTTTAAACATTCATGTGGATTTAATATAATTATGTATGTAGGTATGTCTTCATCCATGTGAGGGGTTGGACATTATTGGAAAATAGATACACATGTACTATTATTAATATTGACCACTTATGTGCTTGCTGATCTTGGTCTGCATTGGTCACATGACTGTGCAGCCACCAGTCAGTGCAAGTTTCCACTAAATGTAATAAACCTGTGATTTTTAACATGGATACAGAAAACAATTATAGTATAATATATAAACATAATTATATAAACATAAATAGAATTAATAGCAGTGTTCGAAATTAGCAGTAGTCCTATAGCCCCTGACTACTAAATTTCTCCTTGGGCTACCAACTTTTCACAGTAACAAGCGCGACCAGGCTACTGTATTTTCAGAGCCAATATAAACAATTGTTTTGAACAAATGAATCATGCTAGTGAAATGTCTTTTGGGCTAGTGAATTTTCCAATCTGGTAGTCCGAAAAGCCTAGCCGATTCAAATCCTAATTTCTTACACTGTAATAGAAATGTTATTATAAAACAAACCATAGACATATAATTCTGGTATTTACACCAATGTTTTTTGTTCATTATTAACTCCAGCGACAAAATCAAATATTTTCTGTCCTTATGTTTACCAAATATGTATATATTTGAAATATACTTTAAACACATACATTTTTCATATTAAATGTATAGTTGGGTGAATCATCCCTGAACTGGCGTGAATCATAATTCAAGTTGGGTCAGTCATGGTGAGGTGATTCATCTGTGGGGACAAATTGTTACATTTGCTTAGTGTAAACTTAAACCCACAATAAAGCATCTATTTCTAAATGAAAATGTCGTGTTTTCGTAAAGTTTAAGCTATTTCAGTATATCATAGACCATTACATGTACTGGCAAGTACTTTTCATTGTTGTATAGTTACAATCAATGAGGTAAATCTTTAAAGAAACCCCACTGAGATTATTTTACATAAAAGGACCAACAATATTTTTTTCAAAATTTATGTATAACTGGATAAAGGTCTGGACCAATCACTCTGTGTAAATTTTCAGATCAATTGTGCACCCGATATCCCAACAATGATAAATTTTGTTGTGTAAATTGATCCCAAAATGGAAAGCCTTGAACATGTTAGGATATTGATTATCAATTTATTACCAAGTATATTTATATAATATCTATCACAGTCATAGTTTCCCATTTTAGGCGCACCAGTTGATTAATGAAAGAATTTCAAATTTTATGTTTTTAAACAATTGGATCTCAGTGGTGTTCTTTTAAGTCTTTTTTTCTTGTCTAAATATGGCTTATTTTTTTATACCTTTTGATAATGTAGTTGATAAAGATAATCAATTATTATATCTGAAACCTTTTCTTGTGTATACTAAAAGAGAATACCAGAAAATTTAATTTATTGCTGAAAGTAACTTGACAAAATTAAGATTAGAATTGTAGATTTTGGTTTAAATATCACATACTTTAACAATGAAATGCCTTAAATTTCTGTTATTTAAGAGAATTTTGATTTCTTTCAGTATCTTTCCATGTTTCATATGATTGCTTTTTTAAATGACCCCTATAACAGTTTTAAGTTTTTATATATCTGAAAGAACATTATTTGCCTAATAAATCAATTGTTTTAAAACTATTACTTCAATGCAAATTTATGTCACACCATATTTAATCCTAAATTCTACCTTCACCAATTAAATGGAAATGGCCAATTCCCTGTGTGTGAAAGAAATTATTTCATTGTATAAGCTTTAAAACAATTGGTGACTCCATGAAAGGTCAAAAAGCTATTTAAAGCCCTGATGAATGATAGTATGTTTTATCTCAGAATTTCATTTAAGTTTATCAGGTTATATTTAAACATACATGTATATTGCACAATATTGTGAAAAATGATATAATATATTTTACTCAAGTATTTTCCCACAATTCAAGATATAAAAATGGGACATTCAATTTAACTCTTAATTAGATAAGTATGATAAGGAAGAAGACAGCAGTATTTTATAAAGTTTACCATAATAGATTTAAGAAAAGGAAGAAATGTAAGTAAGTGAAAAAGATGAAGGAATTATATACAGTTTAATACTGTATCATATTTTGATTATTATTCATTTTAAAAATAACAAGGTGGGTTTGAAATATTGTATGGTTTAATTTCTTTTTTTAAATGAAACATTCTGAAAAAATGATGGAGAAATTTAATTGTATTTTTCTTGTGAGTTTTTTTATAAAATTCAAATCCTCACATTGCTTTATACAATGAATTGTTGTGTTTTTTTGTGTGTGTTTTTTTAGCTGCCCATTGATAATTAATATTGGGGTTTAATATACTGAAAATTTTGATAATTAATATTGGATTCTAATATACTGAAAATTTTGATAATTGATATTGGATTATAATATACTGAAAATTTTGATAATTAATATTGGATTTTAATTTACTGAAAATTTTGATAATTAATATTGGATTTTAATGTACTGAAAATTTTGATATATATATGTATAAACACCTTCCTTTCCTGAAAATGGGCAGCAAACAGTATGGTATGGTAAAATAATAATATAAGAGAGAAATAACACCTCTATAGACATGATAGAACGTCCAAAACAGCAACTCTGAGCAATCCTGCCATTTGACTATACTAGTGGCATAGGCTTGTGATATAAACAACAAGTGCTCGGTGAAATTATCACAAATACAATAATATTAAAATGTCTTTTAGTATAAGGAAAAAGAAAAAGTGTTTCAAAACAGAGATTTATTTTAACTCTGAATTGGAAGTTATATATATATCAAATTCTGAAGTCATTATCAATACTGTTGTGTTTTTGTCTTTTTCAGAAACATTTAGGAGATTCACTTTTGAGAAGCTGGTAATCTTGAACAATTATTAACATTCTTAATAGTTAACTCTATATTAAGTTTAAGATAAAAAATAAATAAAAAAATATTTAAAAAAAAACGTGAATAGGATCAGTGTGAATAAACATTTCAATAATTATAATCCGGAATATGATTCATCCGGAGATTGAGAAGATAGATAATCAAGTCCAAACATCGCTTGAAGACATCAGTCCTGAAACACGTGCACAATTTGAAGAGGAATTACATAAACTACGAGAGGACAAATCTTTGTTGGAAGGAAAAATTCGAGGATATTTAACTCTTAGTAAGTGAACATTTATGTTTTTATTATTTTGTATACCATTCTCCTGATATTTTAACATTAAAAATGCCGTACATCGAATTTGCCATTTGTTCATTGAAAAAAATCAAAGATGTAATAAAAGTAATCACTTTTTTCCTAATCTACAAGTTGAGTTTTCTTTAATAAAAATGTTTTGTGTGTTAAAATTTCAATTATCAATATTCAGGTGACATTTGCCGTGAATATAAGGAGGAACTTTCGAAACTTAGACAGGACTACAATAGACTACAAGAGAGAGTCAACGCAGAAAACAGTTTTAATAGGATGACCAGCCAGGTATGTTTTTCTCTTGCTGAGTAATGTTTTTTCTTGCTTACTTACTTAAATATCTTAGTCTTAATATTTATTTCTTAGCGGTATTACTGGTCAAAACCTGTGGTGTTATTTTGCCAGAGTACACTGACAATAAAAAAAATACATTTCTTATATTCAGTCCATGCAGTCTAAACTGTATTCACAGCATTTTTGAAAGGGTTGAAATTTCATTACTGTTTAAGAATAAATTGCACATCACAAACAAGGCTATCATATTAAAGTTGCAACACTGTCACCCTGCTGATTTTGTGTATCAGACTTTTGAGATTCTGCTTGAAGTTGTCCATTGTGTGCTTTGGGGAATTCAGTACCAAATCAATAAAGTAATGCTAAATATATATAAATCACACTTTTTCCCTTCTTTATTTTACTTAGAAGTAATAAAATAATGTCATGTTTAAATTATTGTTTCAGCTTTCCAAAAATGAATCCCCTACACCAGATAACGACCTTGGAACAGTCAAAGGACACGAGCATGAACAGCGTACACAAACTCACGACCCTAACTTTCATTATCATCAGCCTCAATCACCTCATTCACGTTCAATAAACAATTTCGAATCAGTTGCCTCAAATATACTAAAAGGGAATGAAGTACCAGTTCGTACAAAAGATCTTTTCGACCTGGTTGAAGATCCACCAAAATCTAGCGAGGGGACCAAATCTATGCCGCACAGTTTGGAATCTGCGTCACATTACCAAGATAAATATCCAATGCAGGAAAGCATGGCTGCAGAATCTAGTAGCAAATCAATTACAGGTATGTATGTTTCTGCAAATATCTATATTGATCTATAGCTGCAAGAAACCTTTTCATGATACTTTGTCTTTAAAGTTTATCCATTGATTTTGTGCAAGGGGCTTATCCAGCTCTCTGAAATGCAATTGTTCGTCAATAGTTAATAACTTTTCAAGTTAAAGCAACCGGTTAAAATCTGTTCAGAATTGTAAAAAGTTAAAGTGTTTTCTTTATTATAGGTAAAAAGTTGAATGTTCATAACTTTATACAATCCCTTGCTGTAATTTTACATGAATATGGTTTCAATTCTACATGCAGGGTTTTCAGCTAGCTTATGGAACGTCGTTGGTTCTACTCAGGTGCCCGTTCGTGCCTGAAATAATGCACGGAAGGGCACCTGAGGTCTTCCTCCACCAGTAAAGCTGGAACGTCGCGATATGACCTATACTGTGTCGATGTGACGTAAAACAAAAAAAAAAACAAAAAAAAAAAAATGCAGGGTTTTATGTTCATCTTCATTCTAATCACTATATTTTCATGATCAGTGTTTCTAATTTTTTTTCTCATAACCCAGATAATCTAGTCTTTTTGGAATCATGACTTATTTAGGTTACTTAAAAAATGATTTTTCTCAAAAATGTTATTATTAAGTGTTGGCTTTTATGACTTGTACACTACCTAATCATCTTTATCACCAGGTCTCGGGTTCGAGCATGTACCATCAGATGATATGGCCCTAGGTCAGTCAGCAGGGAATAAAGGATTCCGACAACCTGGAGATCTTATGAATTTCAGTGTCACGCAATCTAAGGTAATTTAGATGGTTCAGTAAAGATTTATAAATTGTCATTGTATTTTATATCTAGAGTGTAGTTTCAAGCATGATATTAAATACATTTATCATTTCTATGTCCTACCCATTTCACCATAATACACTGAAGTTGCTTCACACATGCATATGTACCATCAATTTTATATTAACAAGAATGGAGTCCTGTTGTTTAGCTCAATAGGGAGAGCATTGGAATTTTAAACCAGAGGTCAGCGGATAGATCCTTGGGGGGAGTTGGAAATTTATTGGCGGCAATTAATCTCAGGCATTGAGTCTAATAGTCATTTTTATGCCCCCACAATGTGGGAGCATATAGCGTTGCACTTGTCCGTCCGTCCGTCAGTCCGTCCGCACTCACAGGAGAGTAATTATGTGGCTAGAGGGACAATAGGTAACTGTTCTTTCTCTTTGATGTCATTCATTCCGTAATGCTTTTATGTGGCTATTTTCTTTTGTGTGGCTAAAAAGAACAATAGAGAGAACAATAGAGTAGCCACATAATTACTCTCCTGTTAGAACGTCCGTCCGTACGTCCCGAAATCTTGTGAACGCAACTCCTCTTAAACCGGATGGCAGATTTTGCTTAAACTTACAGGGATGAACAACCTTAATGTGTAGATGGTAGTAAAGGAAGGAATTTTCGCTGCGACCAAATTTAACAGAATTATGGCCCTTTGTTGATTTTTTCACTAGATACTATGTAGAAATTTTGTGAACGCAACTCCTCTTAAACCGGATGGCAGATTTTGCTTAAACTTACAGGGATGAACAACCTTAATGTGTAGATGGTAGTAAAGGAAGGAATTTTTGCTGCGACCAAATTTAACAGAATTATGGCCCTTTGTTGATTTTTTCACTATATACTATGTAGAAATTTTGTGAACGCAACTTCTCTTAAACCGGATGGCAGATTTTGCTTAAACTTCCAGGGATGAACAACCTTAATGTGTAGATGGTAGTAAAGGAAGGAATTTTTGCTGCGACCAAATTTAACAGAATTATGGCCCTTTGTTGATTTTTTCACTATATACTATGTAGAAATTTTGTGAACGCAACTCCTCTTAAACCGGATGGCAGATTTTGCTTAAACTTACAGGGATGAACAACCTTAATGTGTAGATGGTAGTAAAGGAAGGAATTTTCGCTGCGACCAAATTTAACAGAATTATGGCCCTTTGTTGATTTTTTCACTATATACTATGTAGAAATTTTGTGAACGCAACTTCTCTTAAACCGGATGGCAGATTTTGCTTAAACTTCCAGGGATGAACAACCTTAATGTGTAGATGGTAGTAAAGGAAGGAATTTTTGCTGCGACCAAATTTAACAGAATTATGGCCCTTTGTTGATTTTTAGTTTTCAACTTGTGGCACATGTAGTCCAAAAAATATTTGACCTAGAGTCATAAGATTGACAGAACAGTGGCGTGTGGGGGCATCCGTGTCCTATGGACACATTTCTAGTTCTCTCACCGCTGATGAAGAAATTATATGGAACAAGAAATAAAGTACTTGCAGAAAATTTGGTTATTACTGGTCATATCCAGGAAAGCCAGTTAGGTGGACAAGCTACAGCTATATGGCCAATAGTGTGTTTAAATCTATGTTAAAACCAAAATAGAGTGGATTTGATGGAATTGATATTAGTTTTCAACAGCTTTGAGGAAAATTTTGGATGAAAGGATCAGAATTCTTTTTTTTTCTATTAAGAAATTCAGGGATGGAAAAAATGAATGCTTGGATTTAGATGCATATTTTAGGAGTTACAAACTAGTTTTAAGACATTTTCTTTTAAAAGCTGCTGGAATAACATTTTTTAGAGGTTCACTTTACAAATGAAGACCAAGAATGCGTTTAATTTTATCAATACATGTTAATTATCAACATCAAATCATTGAAGATGGTATTAGAATAGCTGTTTATAAAGAATATGTGAGGGTCAGAGGTCAAGAGTAATCTAATTGGCTATATCAAGACTTTCAGTGTGACAAGATCAGGGGGAATAGAGCAGAACTAAAGAAAGTACTTCAGGAGCTTTGATTTTAATACGAACAAACAAACATGTGAAACTCTAAAGATTCTTTTGAGACTCTGACTGGCAGTGGACATTGAAAAAAGTCACACATCACTGATCAGAGAAAAGGAAGTTTGAAGATCTAGAATATCAAGGAACATGTAAAATTGGACAAGGAAGATTATCTGTGACTACTTCGTAACCAACAGGACATAAAAAGTGAAAACTAGTCAAGTACAGAATACTTGAAGATTCAAATTGAAGTTCATATAAAATAGAAACAAAGTCAGAGAATCGACTTAAGACTTGAAAAAAAGGATGAAGAAAAAGAAAGAAAAAAAGAAAGAAAGGTGATTCTCTTGAACGAAGGTGTCTTTAAGTTTTAAAAACATAAAGCAACTTTAAAAAAGGATAGATAATGACAACCTGAGTGAACTTAAGCAAAACAAGACAGGATGTGTCCTTGACCTTTTGACCAAGAGCTTACATTGACCTACATAGCCCAAGGGTTGAGTGGACTACCATAGTATCAGCAAGATGTGACAGAGGTCTGTTTGTGAGTGTTGTTTTAACCTTTTCCCTTTAAAAACAAGGTTTACAGACATCTCACAAAGTTTATTTGACCTTTCAGTTCCAACCCTTATCCTGAAAGAGCCGTGTTCTCAAGGTCCAGCTATTGGCCCACTTGAGCCACATGGTAGAGCAACTGGTAAAAATGCATATATATAGTTTAGAATCCATATGGGCCAGGGCTTCCGTTAATGGAAGTTTAGGAGTCATTTACTCCTTGATATTGGCTTGTGACTTCCAAAATCTAATATTTTATCTTCTTTACCTTTATAATGTAACTTCCAGTATCAGAGATTTTGCAATGTCTGACTTCCAAATTTTGAAACTAAATGGAAGCCCTGATATGGGCACTGCACTCTGTAATGCATTTTGTAAAGTTATTCTATTGTGCTCCCAGGCTTAGTTTGAGGCCAGTGATGAGATTCCATCTGATACTGGCCCTCTAGAGCTTTATGGTAGAGCAACTGGATGTAGTAAGTAAAATTATTCCAGTGAGCTCCCAGGCTAAGTTTGAGGCCCTACCCTATACTCAGTACTTGTATAGGGTATGAAAGGTTTAAATTACACCTTGCCACTACTGCTGACTGATGGTGGATTCTTAGAAGATTCACAGGCCAAGATACTAATAAGGTAAAATAGATACTCACTTTGCACCATTGAAATAGTGTTTTTAAATGTCTATTTTGTTCTTCCAAGTAGGTCTATATTTTATTTTTTTCACTCTCGCATTGTTTTAATAAAAAACATTTTTTTCAGCACAGTTAGGCAAGATATACTATATTAAATGCTTTTTTAATAACAAGTCAACCTGTTTTGATGTTCAAGGGGTATTTACCTGTGAACTATATATATGATGACCTTGTTAGGGCCTTTGGCATTAGAGAAGGAAGGATGATCTTACGTACTACTGGATTTTGTAGAAGTTTTTGATCTTTGAATGGACTTGATCAGCAATTCTAAATTATGAAACAGTGATATGATGACTCCCTGCAATAACATTAACTGACTTGATCTAAATTTTTTTTTTTTTTTGGAGAAGAGTTAGACCTGTAACCTACTGAATTTCTTAAATGGACTTGTCCAGCTCCCATTTTGGGAACAGACCATTATCAATTTTAGGGATATCAAGATGATAATTGGAAGCAACAATAAAGAGACTGTTTGACTTCATGAATGTGCTGGCTGGTCTCAAGCTTTATACAGGAGGCAAAAGTTTAAGGGCAAAGTTTAAACCATATAGGAATTATTATTTTCAATGAATGATTAGAAATGTTCTATAGTCAAATTAGATGAGTTAAATAAATGAAATTTGTCACTGTATGTAAGTTTAAGAATCATTAAAGAATTAAATTAGAATTGTTTGCTGCTCTTTTTAAGGCAATTATTTAATGGAAAATTTTACATTTTACATAAACAATATTTTTAATTTCAAGGACAGTTAATTGTTAAAACAGTTACTGTGTCATTTATTCAATGCCTTGTTGTGGTTAAAGTAATAAATTTCCAGTTCTTAAGTATTTTTGTCAGGGAATATTCCTCTTTGTGTAGAATTTAAAGTAATGATTTTTAGTTTTTACAATATTGTTTACATTAATTATATTATCCTGTCCTTGAATAGTGGAGCACTATGGGTCTTTATATTTACTATCTCATACTATGTAAAATTAGGTCATTATTTATATAAACAAGCCAAGTTGTAAACTTATTGTGAAAAACCAATGTGTATTTTACAAATGCAGATCTAGGTCATGAGTCAATATGTTATACAACTATGTTTACAAGAGTTACTCCTCATTTTATTTTGTAATTTAAACCTTTATCTTTTTCTCTTTTTTTATGAAAACAATAACCAAAATAACATGATTTCTTTATCATTTTGTAAAATATCTATGAAATATTGATTAGTAAATGTAATGTGCTTTTCCATTTTACAGCTGGTAAAGTATATGCTAAAACACATTCAATAAAAAGAGCATAATTGATTTTTATATGTTATTTTTGGAATTCCCAGCAAAATTTCTAGCCTTTTTTCATACTTTTTGTATGTATGAAATTGATTAGACCAATGAATTAAAACTGTTGAGATTATCTAAGCTTTATCGAAAAGAAATAATTTTTTCAGGCAAAAAAAAAGGAATTTCCAGACAGGAAATTTGAGTAGTTTTATTTTTGTTTTAAGAGTAAAAAAAAACAGCTGAATAAGCAGAATTGGTTAAGTTTCAGTTTCACATGTTTAATTTAACTTGTTTGAATTTCAGTTTAAAATACTCTAATTCTGTCCAAATGACAGAATTTTGAATAACCAAAAATTTACTATTTAACACTCGGTTGAAGGACATTTTAACCAAAAACCACAAGACAGGCATATTATTACAGTTATAATTCTAGATTGACTCGAGGTTTGCTCATGAAAGATTTAATTGATTTTCAGAGTCAACATGCCGTTGATGACCAAGAGCTTGAAAATATTCTTAAATCCGTTCAACTGGACAGCCGTGAAAATGTCGACCTCAAGAAAGTGGTTACGACCATTAAATCATATGCAAACTCAAACAGTGAGAAACTGCAGGTTTGTGAATAAAATTTGTATTTATTTAAGAAAACATATGCTGCTGATTCATTTAAAGCAGCAATGGTTTCACCAATATACTAATATTAATTATTTATAACAATAACATTTTTTTAATTTCACAAAATTTATTTTTGGAATTGTCTTGATAAATGTCATCTAATTTTAAAAAGAAAAAAAAAAAGAAAAAAAAAAAAACTTTGTTAAAATGATAATAATTTGAATAAAGCATAGTTTTGAATCTCCATATATTTTTACAACATGATCAATGATGTCCTTTGAATGCAACAAGTATTTGTGCTACCTTTGGTTAATACAGAATTTATATTAGTTTGGTTGTGTAGAAAGCTATAAGCTTTTAGACACACTCTCAAATCTGTTCCTGGAACCAACCAGTACCGAGCAATGAGTGTAAAGTTTCTTGCTCAAGGAAACAATGGCAAAGTGTGACAATATTGTCTTCTAATATAATAAACATTTTAGCAGTATGACATTGTAGAATGTGCTGTTAAAATAATACCAAATGATTATTTTTTTCAGAAGTCAAATGCTGTACTATACAAGTACATTGGAATAAACTTTATAACAATTTTTTGTTTACAGAAATCAAATGCCATTCTCGTTGATATGAACAAGAAGAATCAAATAAAGATGAAAAACCTTGAGTAAGTTTTCATCCTACATCCCTTGGTAGAATTTTTTCTTTAAATAAGAAAGCTGTATTAGACCTTGTTTGAAGGCATGTACCTAGTTTGTAAATCTAAATATTTGATAAGTTAACATGAAAATATATACATGTATATCTGGTGCTCTCTTAAGTGTGATATTGGAGAATTGCTAATTGGAATCCCTTTCATATATAGTGTTTTTCAATTCAAACTTTGTTCCAGACTAGTTAAGATTAGACAGATTCCACTGTAATGTCTCAATTAAATGAATCTAATATAAGCAGAAAATCCCTGACAGGCTTATAGTGATCACATGAACTTCTAGGCTATGGTTATTAGAAAGAAAAAATGTTATCATATTTAAATTATTTCCAGGGACTAAATATTGTTCTTTGTTTATGTACAATAATACAGTATATGTACATATTGGGATTGTTCTAAACATTTATTGCTCAAAAATCTTGCAGTATGGTCATATTAATTATAGTATAAAATATTAGGTTTATTTTGTAGCTATCACCAAGAAAGTCTTTTATATTTTGCTTAAATTCTTTAAAGTTACAAAAGTTGACATTGGCATAATGTCGTCTGTTCTGTTCAAGAATTGACATTGACTAAGGGTCTTCATATTCTGTTGAGACTTTCAAGATTTGACATTGACCAAGCATCCTGTTCTGTTGAGAATTTCAAGATTTGACATTGACCAAGCATCCTGTTCTGTTGAGACTTTTAAGATTTGACATTGACCAAGCATCCTGTTCTGTTGAGAATTTCAAGATTTGACATTGACCAAGCATCCTGTTCTGTTGAGACTTTTAACATTTGACATTGACCAAGCATCCTGTTCTGTTGAGACTTTCAAGATTTGACATTGACCAAGCATCCTGTTCTGTTGAGACTTTTAACATTTGACATTGACCACACATCTTGTTCTGTTGAGACTTTCAAGGTTTGACATTGACCAAGCATCTTCATATTCTGTTGAGACTTTCAAAATTGAATTTGTAACAGCTTTTCTGTTTGGACATTTAAAACTGAGGCTTAACATCTTGCATTTAAAAAAAGCCAATTCATTCTTCTGAAATGGTGAAATTTATGTATCAGTAAAACTCCCATCCATAATATATACATGAATATCAAAATAATATCACTCATAATGGCTTAGGAGTAACATTATGGCCTTGACAATAAGATAAGAAAGATGTTTATTAAACAAAACAGTTTATCATTTATAACAATGTTTATTTATAACAATGTTTCATATTTCTTCTAACAGAGATGAAATAAAGCGGCTGAAGAAGGTTATTCAAGAATTTGAACAAGCGGTTTCAAGGTCAATGACCCCAAAGGACAGCTCAAATACTGGAGGATGGGTTCATGTTCAGAAGCAGTCAGAGGTACCCACGATATTTGTTAACATTCATTTACAACTATATCTATGCTTCCTTTAATTTAATGGAATTTTACCAAATCTATTTTATAGATTTTTTTTACTCTCTTAATATATATTTTAAGATTGACTATTTGAAGAATTAGAAGAGCTATTGTAATATTGTAACCTCAATAGCAGCAGAGTCACCTTTACACTTTAGTTAAGTTGTGTGCAAGTTGGTATCTCCAAAACTATTGAAGGGGTTTGATTATTATTTTACAAACTTTTTCTCTGTGACTTTATAACATAGTGGGCACAGGTGACATAACTCTGAGTTACCTTTTTACAGAGTTATGCCCCTTTTCTGACTGTCTTACAGACAGCTCTTGTTATATGAAATTTTTGTTCATTCAGAATGATTGCAGTACATGTGTATATATATTTACAGAGTGAAGCAGTTACCAAGACTACAGAGTTCAAACAAAGGTCAACTTCTGACAATGAAGAAATTGAAACTCTGAGGCAGAAAAACCACCAGGTACTTTTAAAATTGATAAAAAGTACTGAATTTGAACTTGAAAAAAAAATAGGGAAAAAACTAACAAAAAAAACTAACAAAAAAAAACTAACAAAAAAACCCCAACTTCTTTGCACTGTTATCATTTGTACATGATAGAATGTTTGTGTATTCAACTTTATTTAAAGTTATTCAGCAAAATTTGTCCATATAACATATACACTGTAAAACATAAAATATGAAATCTTGGAATTTTTTCCCCATTGTTCATGCTTATTTGTGGAAATATACAAAAATTATATACAGCCTTTTTGAATTTGTTTCAATAAAATCTATAATAAAATGGGAACTGTACTTTAAAAATGCCATTGTTCATTTTCATAATATACAGTATATCTAATTTCAGTCTCCTTTATACTAATTCATTAAAGTGAAATCAACCAATACAATTATTATTGTTTCTTTACAATATATTTATTATCAACAAGTTTTTTACTTCTTCTGAAATTAGACCTTACGTTTAAAAAGAAAAAAACCTAAATAAAGAACAATGAACATTAAAAAACACAATGAAAATTCTTATGAAATGATCTGTTTTTTAAGGGTTGTTGATTCTTTAAGCAGCTTTTCAACCATTTCAGTCAATCTTCTGTTATTTTACTTCAAGCACCTTTAATTACTTGTCCACTTTGACATAAACTTCCTGTTAGTATTATACACTACCATGTACTTCACTTGCATTGTTTTTATAGTGTACACAAGGGGTTTCTGTAGCATTGTGGTTAATTTTGCTGACTTCCTGTCAAATTCCCATTTCACTGACTTCCTGTCACATACCCAATTTGCTGACTTCCTGTCACATTCCCTTTTTGCTGACTTCCTATCACATTCCCACATGGTGATTTGTTCCCTTTTAATGAATAGAAACTTACATGTTTAGGAAGCTATCAAGGTAGCTTTCAGAAGTTTGAAGGTTCTACTCACATGCCGATTTGTGTCTGTAATAATGCATGCGTGGCAACTGGGGCCTTCCTCTGCCACTTAAACTCGTAAGTCAGCCATATGACCTGTAGTCCTGTGCAGATTTGACTTGACATTGAAGTTTATAGTTTAATTAAACTGCATCAAATGTATGTACTGTTAACATAAGTTTGCCAAGAAACAAAAGGACAGTTTTATAAAAAAAATGATGGTTGAGTAATGGATCAGATTCTTTTTTAAAAGTTAAGCATAAATATGATTTGCTTATGAACTGTATTATTTCATAACATGGGAAATACCACTTTTGAAATTTGTTGAATTTCAGTTAACTGAAGCCAATCAAAGATGGAGTAATGAATGGAATAAGCTGGTCGCACATTATGACAGCCGGATTAATGATCTGCAGACGGAGAGGGATAGACTGGCAAAGGAAATGACGGAGAACAAGATCTCTGAAGAAGCCAAATTAAGGGACTTTGAAAAAATGCTCATGAATTCAAAGAAAAAGGCTTCTGAAGAAGAGGTTTGTTTGATGATATTGTTGTTTTTTTTCTCATCTTTTTCAAAAATAAATGATTGATTTGTCAAACAAATAGTTTAACATTATTAAGAAATTTACAACAAAACATTGTTTTTATTTCAGCAACAAAGCATAGTGTATTAATAATACATTAAACATATGCTGCCATTTTATAAAATTAAATCGGATTTGATATGTTTTTGAAACATTATAATTTTACTGTACAACTTTCCAATGTTTTTATCAGATGGCCAAGGAAGAGGCATTTCTCCAAGTTACGTCTGCCAACAACCGAGCAGACGCACTTCAGTTGCAGTTACAAGAGAGTGAGGACACTAATACTGCATTACGAAGGGAAAAACAAGTTCTTGAAACAGAACTTAGTGTCATGAGGGTATGATATTTTGCAGTTTGCATAATTTTATCATTTTTTTTCTTTGACCAAAAAAGAGCATTTGATTTGTTTTTGTTGAGAGACTTTAACTCAATGTTTTCTTGACATAGATCTACCAAGATATAATGTTTACTAAGATATAATGTTTGAACTGTTAAGATATTAAGTTATTTCACTGTAAACATTTAGCATTTGTTGTTTCACGATTATTATTTATCAACTATATGAAGTTATCTTAATCTTTTGAAAAAAGTTTTTCCTGTTAAAATAATGTATTAAACATCAGAATTGGAATTTTAGAAGACTTGCTTTATATACTCTGTACTTACGATTTCGAATTTTCCTTTTCCAACATATATACTTAATATACATGATTTCAAATTTTCATTTTTCCAACATTTTGACTTAATACATATGATTTCAAATTTTCATTTTCCAATATTTACAGCAACGGCCAGTAACTTCTTCAGGAAGAGCTCAACAAGGACCCAGAAACGGACGAAGTCAGATGGACCTGGATACAGAAAACGACGTACTGCGCCAGCAACTTCTCGTTTTCCAGGAAGACTTTGACCGGGAACGGCAGGATAGAGCCAAGGCCCAGTCTCTTAAAGACGAGTACAAGAAACAAAATGAGCAGTACAAAAAACGGGTCCGTCATCTTGAACAGAAAGTTCAAAACTTAGACCGACAGGTGGGGATTTTTCTTTACATTCTTTAAGCTATTTGCTTGGTCTTTTTAAAGAAATATTAGCTTTGGTAATGTTTTGACTTCGATGGCACTTTGAAGCTCATTTTCCAATACATTTGACTCATATAAAGTTTCATTGTTGTTTATATAGAAGTGAATATGGCATATGTGTAGGAATATGTAAAGAAGCATTGCATGTGGAATGTGAGGTACGCTCATATGAGATCAGATTTTCCAACACAGTTATTTTTAGTAACATTTACCTATTTCTCTATCCGGTTAGTGAGCGGTATGGGTCAGAAGTGACTAACAAACAATTTTTTTTAATGGCTGGCCATATAGAAGCCATTAAGTTTTCAATATTTAAGTTTTTCAAAATTTTTACAGGTAAAAATGACTGAAGATTCAAGCAAGAAATACCAAGAAGAGAAAATTGCTTTACAACAAGAAAATTCCAACTTAAAACTACAGCTTCAGAGAGAACAAGAAAAATTACGTAACTACATTCCAAGCCAAATGGCTTATCAGCAACCACTGGTCCAGTCTGCTGGTTTACAGCCCCAGAGGCAAGTTATTTTTGGACAACAAGTGCCGCAGCCCCGTCAACAACAGTACCATATACCACCAACATATGACCAACAGCGAGTTCCACAACTCCAAGGTACACTAAGTTTCTACAGAATTTATTTATTAATTTAATTGTGTAGAAATGATAGACATAGTTAAAGATACACCCTGGAATCATTTACTGGAACCAACTTGTACTGAGTGTAAAGTTTATTGCTCAAGGAAATAATGGCTTGCAGATGAGGGGTTTGAACCCATGAGGCCAGCAGTCTTTAGATAATTGTCTTGACTTGTTTAAAGAAAAGTATGGTTATATCAAATCAACCTCAAATTACCCTCTGGATTTTAAATTGAAATTATGTTTTTAAAACTGCATTTTATATTTCTCATTTATAAATATCATTTTTGCCTTTCATAAATATATCTTATGTTGAATTATTTTAAAGATTTTTATTAAATATTTGCAGATAGTGGCTTTTTTATTATAACTTAATAAATATTATGGCTGTTCTTTTAAAATTTGAAGTTAATAGAATATTTTATAATTTATTTCATGATAAAAAAAGTTGGATACAATGTACAAGCGCCTGGTTCCCAGTACAGTCCTTCTCCACAAGGTGTGTATAGCCCACCGGCACCATACTACCAGGCTAATCAAGCTGGGAGACAGACAGAATATAAACCAGGCTCATGGGCATGTGACCAGTGCACTTACACCAATTATCCTGGGAGAACTGTATGTGAACTCTGCGGATATATCAGAAGCCCTTCAGCAAGTAAGCATGAAAAAAACTGTAATTTTATGCTACCATTGTAATGTGAAGTACTTAGCTCACATTGATAAAGTCAACTTTCATGTTTGAAACTTTACTGAAAATCGATTCATGCATTTAAGTGTATTGGCATTGTTATTTGTTTTCTGCAATGGTATTTTCGTTTCCAATAAGATGTTGTTTGTTACATGCTGTCCCTTAGATTTACTAATTGTATAAACTTTGTATGAAATAAGAATGAATTGTAAATAACTTTGCATTGTTTTGTGATTATTGTATATTTTATATACTTTACTAGTAGTACTTTTACAGTTATGTGTCTAACTGCATCTTATTTATTTTCAGCTCAACAGAACAATTTCGCTTTTAGACCAACAGGAAATGAAGTAAGTAATTTTTGTTTAAATTTTCCGTATAATATTTTACTTCATATGTTTTAATTGGTTTTAAAGTACTTAATAGCAGTCAAGTGGATATCTTAGATTATATTGACTTTGAACTTAGTATTATACACTGAAGTTTGATTTTTATTTAGACTGAATTTAATCTTAGTTTATACTACATCTGATGTTAATTTATGCTGAATTTGATTTTTTTTATACTTCATTTGTTCTTAATTTAAACTGAATTCAAGTTGAGGTGATACTTAATTTGCTTTTATCTTAGACTGAATTTAATCTTAAGTGCATTGTATTACACATTGTTTTATAAACTATATACTTAATTTTTATGGGGCGTCTATGGCCGAGTGGTTAAGGTCATTCACTCCAAAGCACCTGGTTTTCACCACTGGTATGTTGCCATATGACCTTTACTGTGTCAGTGTGACATAACCCAATCAATCATTACCTAATTTTTATAATACGTATTTCTGGTTTCTCTCTCTAACTTAATACTCACTCTTGACACATTTTAGACTTTACATGCCCGCGGTGACCCTCAACAACAACAACAACAACATCAACAGCAACAGCAGCCACCATATGGCTATGGTGGTTCATCAGCCCAGCGGGATGTTACTACTGACAATATGAATTACATGCAGTGAAAAAATGTCCAGGTATTTATAGTTTATGTATTAAATCTATAGATATTTTGTTTTTGGCCTGCATGGGTAGTAAAATAAGAAGAATTTTTATGTCTCTTTTTCGGCCAATTTTGAAGTTTGAATTTTGTTGTTAAGGTGACAGTGGTTAAGGCCTGGTAAATGCCTCTGATTCATTTTCTTATCTTTTTTGTTTACTAAATATTTGATTAACTCTATCTCACATTGAATTTACTCAATAATAGAAATTATTATAACATTGTAGTAATGTACATCATGTGTAATGTCTGTTTTTTTTCTTTCTTTTGATAGATTATACAATGTCAACTGAATCCTACATCAGTCTTCAAGAGACACCGTGCATCCCTTCGGAAGCCAAGTGAATAGATAATCCTAAAAAGAACTTGCAGATGTGAAAATAAAATCAATAACATTTTGCAGAGAATTTTCTACATTAAAAAAATGGAGAAATATTTAAAGATACTACAAATGTTTCCATGGTGAAATGACGAACATTTCAAAATATTATAAGTATCTATTTACTTGGCTTCAAAACATTATCTTTTCGATGGAGGAAGATTAACAAAAAAATCTCCAGTGAAACTTTCTGAGGAGGTTAAATCGTTTTTCTTTCTCTTTGTTGTGGAGAGTAAAAGGTGGCAAGTGGAGTACAATAAACACCGGAGGAGTAAATGCTATTTCGGTGCATTTTCCAATGGTATGCAAATATGGATGGTGAAAAGGCCACATGGTGTGGAAGATGAAAACACCAAGAGGGGAAGTTGTGAGGGTTGGATGCAGTGGTTAAGACTTCCAAGAGGATTCTTTTAGAAAAAAAATATATGTACATTTTATAATCATAAATGTCCATTTATCATAGGATTTTGTTTTGATTGTATGTGTGTTGATTACACTTTATCATACTTTGTTTCAATTTTAGAAAATTTAAATTTTGTGATAATTTCAGTAGAAAAGTATACTGTTATTTTTTGTTTTTACATTATTCTTTGACATACCAATTGTAAAGGATTAAGGTTATATTTATGAAAGTATAAATATATCTATTATCTGGTATATCTATTGCCATTAACTAAAAGAGGACAATAATTCGTCTTCTAGATATTATGTAATGATTTTTTTTTCCAGTATTTATTTTTATTTAACTTATTGTTCAATATAATGTTTCAGACCTATTGAAACACAAGTATTTTTTTCTAAACTATGTTTATGTTTTGTTGAAAAACAGATGATTTATTTTGAAACATAGAGATGTTTTGTTGAAACACAGATTTATTTTGAAACATAGAGGTTTTTTGTTAAAACACATACTTTATTTCATAATGTTTTTCTGTTGAAACACAGATAAATTTTTGTTTGAAACATAGTGATGGTCTTTTGAAACAAAGTGATGGTCTTTTGAAACATAGTGATGTTTGATGTTTTGTTGAAACTGAGATTTCTTTTGAAACATAGTGATGTTCTGTTGAAACAAAGCTTTCTTTTGAAACATAGTGATGTTCTGTTGAAACAAAGCTTTCTTTTGAAACATAGTGATGTTCTGTTGAAACAAAGCTTTCTTTTGAAACATAGTAATGTTCTGTTGAAACAAAGCTTTCTTTTGAAACACATTGATGTTCTTTTGAAACAAAGCTTTCTTTTGTAAGATTGTGATGTTCTGTTGTAACATGGAGATATATCATTTACCTGAGATGTATTACATGTTTACATAATTCATGCATATTTGAACTATAGATTAGGACTGAGACAAGGAGCTTTTTCTACCCAAGTGTCATGTTCCCTTTGGTAAGAGATCAACGGCTAAAGATAAAATCTAAAAGAGAACAAAATTTTAACATAATTATAATAATAAAAAGAAAATGAGTCATTCTTACATTTACCTTTTGAAGTTCAAAGTAGCAAAATTATTTTGTTGCTTTTATTCATTTCATAGACAATTTTTTTGTACATAAAAGTTTGATGTACAAAAAAAATGGCATATATTTATCAGAATAAATTGGTATTTGGTAAAATTTATTTTTAATAAGATGATATTTTCTTAACCTAGCACTTCAGGGTAGTCAAGTGCTTGTCCCAGCCCTAGAATAGGCACAACTTAAAGTGTTGTGTCACATGGTCTGATATGACAAATTTGCCGTAACGGTTAAAATTTGCCGTAGTGACTACAAACTGGAGGTATTTCTCCCAGTTGTCTTTGGTCTATAGGGAAATTCCCAAGTTGAGTCTGCCAAGATGTATAACTATTATGATATCAGTTGATATGTAACTATTGTATTTGCAGTTGATATATAACTATTGTTTACAGTATGACTTTTGATTATAGTTAAAGCCCATATGAGGATAGTTTATGAGATGCAGCTTTACAGTGAAGATTTTATGGATAAACTTTAAGCACAGTCTTTTATGTATGGGAAACAGACTTTATGCTCAGAGTTAACATATATATGAACATACTTTAAGGACAATGGTTTTACTTATATGAAAACAAACATTAAGGACAGTGATAAACTTTTTAAGGACAGTGTTAAATAAGGACGAACTTTAAATTTATGTTCATAATATGATGATATTGAGTCGGTGCCCTATATCTTAGTGTGATATGCAACATAGATGTGACTAATTATTGAATTGATGCAGATAACAATCGTGGATTCTTCGTTCCATATCATAGGATCTGCAACAGAATCACACTAAGCCCCTGAACAATAAACATATACTAAATAAAGTACATGTTAATTACGAAATCAGCACAAACTCTTCAGTGATATAGAGGATGGAATTGGGAAAATTCAAAAGGGAATGAATAGTTGAGAAATATATGAGGCAAATCTTGATTCTATTATTATTCATCATTAACTTCTTTTTCAGGGTTCGTAGATTGTGACGTGAAAAAAATGCCGTTGTCTGGTGTAGTGGGATTCGTTTAAAATATAAATAAAAAAAAATGTATTTTGTAATAAATTGTATAAACATTATTATGTGAAAAATGGAGAGAGAAAAATAAGCAAAAAAAATCAGTCATCAAGTATTTAGTATTTTACCATCTATATAATTCTTTGTATAAATTTTGTTATAATTTTGTAACTTAAAATCAATGTTGAATTCTGTTTGAATGGAAGGAAAATTCAACATCTTGATGAAAGTAAAAACTATGAAACTTTTTATCAAATAACGTTTTTGTGGAGGAATAAGATCACTTTTTCCTGTGTTCCCCAACCATATTGTGAAGACAGGCATAATCCCATGTAAACCAAAGGGAAATATTTTTTATAGTGAATATGGGTGGAACTTTTGCATTAAAAGAAAAATAAAAAAACAGCAAACAAAATGCAATGGGAAGGTAAAGGAGTTTTAGCAATCTAAAAGTAAAGACCAGTTTTGTTAGTTTAGAGAATTATTTTACTTAGTAACATGGCATAATAACATTAGTTTTTGCAAAATGATTAATGACTGGCAGGAAAAAAATATTTGGAAAAAACAAATTGTTTTAATGTATACAGAAACTTTAATTGTTGTTTGAAATCTTAACACTTTCTGACTCAAAAATCAAGAATTTTATAGATTATATATTTTTTTTTATTTCTTTAAATATTTATTCACAATTTAATCTTACTATGAACCATAAAACTATTTTCAAGCTCTGACCTAGGCTGCAATGTGAAAGGCCTTACAAAAAGGACAACCAGTATATTGTACTTCTTTTTATAAAGATATTTTCTATGGACATGCAACTTCAATTAATAAACTGAGTAAAGTGATAAATCAGATTTCAAGCTAAGAAACTGTCATGTTTATGTATTGTCCGGAGAGCTCTTTTCAGAACAGAGCTTCATGTGTTACGAAAAAAGCGTTTCTTACCTAAAACTTATTTTATAAGTTTATTTGACTCTGACATGAAACATAAACCCTATGTGTATTTATCAACTTTATAAACAACTCTAACATGGACGTTATTTCTCGTGCGTCTACATCACTGTAATTCTATACCTTTGACTGCATATGTCCGGCATACACAGATAATGGTTTTGGATCACAGAGTATCAACACTCACTTTATTTTTCCCTACCTTTGACAAATGCAAATTATTAATTACATTTTTATTTGCACTTAATGTTTTAACTTTTTTTTCTCCCGCTAAAACACTCACTTTTAAAAACTGAGTGTTAAACACTCATTTTTAAAAACTGAGTGTTTTCTTGGTAGGAGATCAAGTTAAACCATCATCTATCTGTTTAGTGCTTAACTTTATCTCCAACTAAAACACTTGCTTCCGTACTTGTCAGTGTTTTAGCACCAACTAAAATGCTGGCTTTCTTATAGCAAGTGTTTTAGTTGGAGATAAAGTTAAAAACTCATCTATTAAATGTATAAATTGCCAATTATTTAGTTTTTAACTTTATCTCCAACTAAAACAATTGCTTCCGTACTTGTCAGTGTTTTAGCACCAACTAAAATGCTGGCTTTCTTATAGCAAGTGTTTTAGTTGGAGATAAAGTTAAAAACTCATCTATTGAATGTATAAATTGCCAATTATTTAGTTTTTAACTTTAGCTCCAACTAAATACTTGCTACTGTACTATCAGTGTTTTAGCACCAACTAAAATGCTGACTTCCTTGCAGCAAGTGTTTTAGTTGGAGATAAAGTTAAAAACTCATCTATAAAATGTATAAATTGCCAATTATTAAGTTTTTAACTTTATCTCCAACTAAAACAATTGCTTTCGTACTGTCAGTGTTTTAGCACCAACTAAAATGCTGACTTTCTTACAGCAAGTGTTTTAGTTGGAGATAAAGTTAAAAACTCATCTATTAAATGTGTAAATTGCCAACTATTTAATACTTAACTTTATCTCCAACTAAAACACTTGCTACTGTACTATCAGTGTTTTAGCACCAACTAAAATGCTGACTTTCTTACAGCAAGTGTTTTAGTTGGAGATAAAGTTAAAAACTCGTCTATTAAATGTATAAATTGCCAATTATTTAGTTTTTAACTTTATCTGCAACTGAAACACTGACTTTGCTACAGTGAGTGTTTTAGTTGGAGATAAAGTCAATTATCTCCAACTTAAACACTCACTTTCATACTTAGATTGTTTTAGCTCAAACTATAACACTTATTTCGTACAGCAAGTGTCTTAGTTTGAGATAAAGTTAAAATGGTCATCAGATTTGCATTTTATGTTTATCTGTTACTAAAAATAACATTCTTAAGGAAAGTTACAGTTTTAGTTATGGATTAAAACACTCATCCGCCTAGTGTTTAACTTTGATCTCCTCCAAGAAATACTCACTGAAGTAAGTATTTTTTGGTGGAGATCCAAGTTAAACACTGAGTGTTTTAATCCATATCTAAAAGTGTCAGTGCACATAGGTCATGTGTTTCGGGATGTTGTCAGATAAAACTTGAAAATAATTAATTAACCCCTTCCCTCCATAAAAAACAAAACAAAACCAAATGTAAGAAACTTTTTTTTCCAACTACATGAACATGTTCTGTTTGGAGTAATCCGGAAAATTTGATGTGACAGTTTTCTTTTCATGAGTTTTATTGGCTTTAGTGTCATGGTGGAATTTTGAGTATTTAAATATGATTTTTTTTTAAATGATTTTGAATAGCATAATTAATGCCTTTCCATTGCAGCCTACTTTTTTTTTCTTTTTTTTTTTTCGTCAAAGATACAAATTGTTTTCTAGAAGCAAAGATTTTCATTAAGAAAAGGAATCAAGATTTATTATATTGACACTAAAGGGACAACAATTTTCAGATTTTTATTAATTTTTCCTGTGTATTTTTTGTGGGGTATACAGTAGAGCTCTATATTGAGCATGAGTTTTTGAATTTTTTGTGAAGACAGTATAGATATAATATCTACATCAAAGTTGCTGTAATTATATATAATTTATATTATATGTAATTAATATCCTTTTGAAATTTTTTCATATCATAATTTTGATATAGGTAACATTTTAACTAAGTTTCATGTAAAGTATTCGGATACTTAAAGCGGTACATTTTGATCATATCTGGGTTATACAATGTTTATGAGGAAAAACCCCGATCACCTGATCACTGTAAAATGACTTATTGATCAAATAGTCACTAAACACTGAACTGCATTCAATACTTTTAGCACAAACAGCATGTAAAATAGCATCATTGATATAGGAGGGCCACTCAAAAACTCTTTTGAGGACATTTTAAAACCAAAACAGTTTTTGCTTTTTTAAAGGGGACTTTACCCCAAAGATGGGGAAACTCTAGGAAAGAGATATATACATGATGGTAAATTTTTGTGAGATACTTCAAGCAAACGGGAGGGGATTATTTGGAGGTTTGAGGTTTCACAGAACGGTTATTTTACCATGCCCAATGACTATATATTTTCTATAGGATAAAAAAAAAGATTTTCAAAGCAGACAACATAATTATTTTAGTAAGTGAATTTACTGAACTTTAAAAATGTTTGAAGGGATTTGGATATCTATATTTTTACGATTATGAGATAATCTTCAAAAGGGATATATCTATAAGTGATTTTATTTAGACAAGGAATTGAAAAGGTTTTGATTTGAATATTGTTTGAAAATGTTTTAACAAGTTACACGATGTTGTTGACGGTTTAAATTATTGATTCTTTTTTTTTGAAATTATAAATTTAATTATTTACAAAGGTGAAAAGTTTCATGTTTTTTAATCGTTTATTTTAATTTCATATATTTGAATAACTTTATAAGAATAAGTGTTAAGTTCTCTCGTTGAAATAGGTTACATAACTTCATGTAACATGTTTTTTGTATAGTTTTTTTTCCATTTGTAACTACATGTATATAGTAAGGAATTATTAACTCGCAACTTTGACAATTACCAGTACCAGTGATAATTTATGTTATATTGTAAGAATTTTGTGGAAATTCATGGTAGTAATTACCTCATGACAATCTGTGTATTTTAGTTATTAAGAAACATGTATAATTAGTGTTTAGAATGATAAATTCTTTTAATCAGTACTACTTGCTCCAAAATTCTTTAAAAACTGTTTGATGTATAATATATTATTGGAATAATACGGATGCGCTTGTTGTATTAAAATATAAAAAATGAACAACACTTTTATAGTTAAATTCTTCTTATGGAACCATATATCAGTGTTATTCCATCGGAATAGCAATATCAATAAAACGACTTATTTTAAGAATCAGACTCTCCGGTCTATATGTCATCGTTAAATGCACAGAATTGAAGGTAAAGTTTTATTTGTCAAAGTTGTGACTAATTAGTGGGGACGGATTTTATAGCCACTATGCTTTGTCTTTTTCATTGTCATATATATAGTGTTAAACAGTTTTGCAGTGTTTTAATATTGCTTTACTTTCTGCTAATTTATGCTAAACGGATTCATTAAAAATACGAATTAATCCTAATTTTGAAAAAGACATCATTTCAATTTAACTTTTTCTTCTCAATTAAATATCTTTTTCCAATTAAACATATTTTTCCCCAATTAAAGATTGTTGTTTTTCCAATTAAACATCTTTTCTCCCAATTAATCATTGTTGTTTTTCTAATTTAACACTTTTTTCAAATAAACGTCGTTTTTTTCCGTTGTACATATAATACAATACAATAAAAAAGACAGTTAACGATAATATTATTATTTTAATCATTTTATTTGATTTCTTTTTTTTTTTTCAGAAAAATTAACATTTACAAACATCTTATTGTTTTATTTTAATGTTACAATCTGTAACATAAATGAAGTTATGTACATTAGCACTATCGATAAAAATATACATGTATACACATCTTGTCACATCTCTCTACTTGAAATAAAGGTTTATGTTACAATTGTTACTTGTTACTATGTTGTGGAACCAACAAAAACAGAAAAAAACATCAGAACATTTCCAATTTACAGATTTTTTTCCATCATTTTTTTTGCAGAAAGCTGAAATGTTGACATTTTTGCAACTTTTTAAGTGTTATAAAAACTGCTTGAAAAAAATGTTCTGTTATTCCTGATTATAAAGAATCTATTTCCGAATTTGGCATAAATTATTGACTAGGTTCTTTTCGTATGATCATAAGATCTGTAAAAATATGGAGAAGTCACTATTTCATTTTTATAAATCTAAAAGTTTGCAAGCTATCACCGGCAGCCACATTCTGATACAATCATATCTTCATGGTGACGTACTACAATATCGTCATATTCAAAATATAACATACTTAAAGGGCGGAGTTTAGTTGGCACACAGCACGGTTCGGGCGCCGCACGGGGGCGCTTCATTTTCATAAGCGTCTGTAGCATCGCGTGGTTTGTTGGCGAGAACTCGTGACCTATAGGTGAAGGACACTGTCCGTAGCACACTTTCGCGTTATATGTCTTTGGATGAATTATCCATGGACCCCAACCAATAAGATCAAAGTCTACTTTAAAGTCATGCATTTTACACGGTTCCGCATCTCTGTCAGTCCATTTATTCTTTCTCCTCCGGCCTCGTTTTCGTTGTTGATCAGTTTTCGCAGAACGCTTGCTTCTATTGAGATCTTGATTGGCATTGTTTGTATTTTCATTCGATGTGTAACTTTTGTAAACAGATTTCATAAATCCATTATCGGATGAATAAATAACTAATATTGGTGCGTTTTCTGTGAGCGATGACTTTCGCTTTTTGGTCTTTTCGCGTAGAACAATGGAAAAGTTTCCATGGAAACGATTAATCTGTGCAATTATTTTCTTTGGAATGTATAAGAAACTTTTTCCTTTCGTTGATTTTATTTGAATTTTGTCCAGCGTCTTCTTGCCGCGTCTGACAAGCAGCACGAAACGTTGTCGTCTGCTTTTCTTCTTGTCGCTATGGAGACGTATTTCAGCCATAGCTACATGCTCGTGCACTGGCAAAGCTGGTATATTGAATATCACGTGTTCTTTTTTGTATTCTGAAATAAAAACAAAAGCTTAATAAATAAATTATGTAAAATTAAGCTGGGTTATCAAATACATGTACTACATATTTTTATAGAAATCTTAATGTAAATCTAACTAAAAAAAAAACCAACAAAAAATCCTCAAAACCAATAACATTGTTCAACTTCTTTGTAACAGAAACGAGTTTTTTTATTGTTATCGAAATCACTTGCAAATCGATTATTTGAAAATTTCACCAATTTTTCCGTATTTTAAGCAAATTAAGCTCTGCATTTACAACTCTTTTCTCTAAATTATTGCTATTTACATCCTTATAAAAATACACTTTATATATTAATAAGAAATTAAACAGAACTTACTTTTTCCTGTAAAACTTCTGACTGTATCGGAGAACTGAATAGCGTCCCTCGTCCAGTCGTCCGTGTGTCCGACCGCTTTATCTAACCCTTCACCGTCTAATAAATGCTCAAAAACCTGTTGGTAAAAGGAAACATTTTTTAAAAAAACGTCGAAAACCATTTGAGATAAATAAAAATAGAACTTTCTCCCAGAAAGTGTACGTTAAGTTCGCGCTTGTGGAAGAGATGTAGATTACTTATGCTGTACATATGGCAGAAGTCGTCTGATGATAATTTAGTGTGCTTCCGTGTTAAAGGAAACACCAGTGTACCTACATAGACTAAGCATATTTACATATTCGAGAATCTTGGTACAACCACCGATCATCTGATAGCTTGCAGGAAAACTTGACGCCGCACAAATGATAATCCAAAATAAGAAAGGAACAAATTACCCATTGAAAAATAAGTAAAAAGATTTCAAAGATGATGTGAAAGAAAACAATTTTTTTAAACATACCTTTAACATGAATCCAATGGACGGTTTTGTGAAGTCAGTCCGAACCCCTCCATTCTGAATTAAGTGTGTGTAGACCTCATCTCTTTTAATGTCCTTGACCTCGTTCTGTTTAATGTCGTCTGCTTGAAGCTGAAGCGCGCCATTTCGCACAAGATCCAACAACAATGATCCTTCTTTATCGGCAGTGTCACTGTTTCTTATTTCATTAACATTTGATATACTCTCCGCAGAATTTCCAATATAATCAGAAAAAGTTATTGGTAAAATATTTCTTTCCATTGTAGCAACTACAGGCGTTGTGCAAAAAGTTTGCACCATTAACAGTCCAAATATTGCACACTTCATTGCCATTGATAGTTCTAAATTGGTAAATAATTACAGAAGAAGTAAAAAAAATCACAAACACTTGAATTTATTACGGTGATGTATCGGTTTCATTCCAACAATGAAATTTATCCCTATGTTACTGTGCGCCACTATCAGAAGCACAATTTATGAATCTAAATCCGAAGATTTAGTGGGATTTAAACTTTCTCTTTAAATCGCAGTGTTATCACTTTAACTAATTCGATTTTTGAGATGTCGCCCACAAAATTTAAGAGTGTTTTCTTTCCTATTTAGAGCTGTATTAATAGCGTCATATGACCCTGAGAACAAAAATCTTTATCAAAACTAAGATGATAAAAATCTGGAGTTCTCGGCGCTGATATTTTAAACGAATTAATTTTTCAGATAAGAAATTCTTACTTATATACTGTATATTTCCTCGAAAGATGATATTTAAAGCGGATAAAATAGATCTGAACTCGATGTCTCGAGACATGGGCGCCGTGTTTTATGGGTAATCGGATTAAAGACTTTAAGAAACAAGATTATCGTTGTTTTCTTTTAATTGTAATTAAGAATCTTTATAGGTGATTTGTATATGACACTTTGTTACTTTACGTGTTATAATTGTCATTAATGTACTACGCGACATGGTTTATTTATATTTTAATATATATCCATGTTGTCGCCGTCATATATTTGATGTCGGATCCTGTTAGATCTTGAATCCCGTACTTTTATCCAGAGATGAGTTTGGAATTTAAAAAAAATCACGATAGAAACTATGCATGAACACTTATTTAAAACAAATTCCATCCGTACGGATTCGAAACATTCCTTTTTTATCCAAGTTATAAGCTTTGATCAAAATTATTAAGTTTCCAACATGTTCAATTCAACTTTATGCACATAGAAGCTTGTCCATGATGTTTAAAACAACATTTTCAGACAATACTTATACTTAAAATATGATTTTTTTTATTATTTTAAAAAGCAATTAATCTTTTTCTAGCACGTATATTTCGTGTTTCAGAAAACTTATTGGAAAATTCACGTGGCTTACTCTAAATTACTTCTATTTCACACGGTACTAGGTATAAATAATTATCTTTTTTGCATTGCGACACACTGCTTAATGTTGTTTGTTAAGTATTTTAATAGCTTGGCTAGATATAATGGTTTTAATTCATAAATAGTTTTTTTTTAAATATTTATAAATATTAGAGATATTTCAAAGTTACTTTAAACGGAGATGCCTGCGTGAAAAATGCTTTTAGAGAGTACCATTCCCCGAACAGTCAGAACAATTATGGATAATTGTTTAAATTATTATCTTACATACACATGTATACTTATGTATGTGTCTTTCTTTTTGCTTATATTCAGTGTAAAAAGAGCGGTCTATAGTCGTGGGTTTTCCAAATTAAGGATCGTGATATAAAGCAAGGGCAAACCATATGTATGTTTGTTCACAAAAGGATATAAAGAATGTACAGTAATATTAAATTATATTAGGAAATGAGAAATATAAGAAATTAACATATTTTCATTATAAAAATGTTTTAAAGACAACTTTTCTTCAAATCTTATTTCTCAATTATACTATCCGAAATGTTGTTACATCCAATCACCTATCTGAATGGTCTAATTTAGCGCCGTCAACCAATCAACTCTCCGATAACAAAATAACGGCGAGTAAAGATTATTTCTATTAATCGAGAGCAGTGCTAATCTATATATGAGATGTCGCATTTTTATAATGCTTTGTGACAAAATAAAAATACTCAAACGTGACCCAGACGTTAGTTTATCGTTATACTTTTTATCAATAATTCATCAAAGTTCAAAAGAAAAAAAACTTGAAACTTGAAATTACTCAAAACTATACATTTTCAGGTCTTGTATCACTGTATCCTGGGTTCCAGTCTGTCGATTTTTAATGTGCTTCTGTTCGGCAAATCTACAAATATGATACATGTACCGAGTACGAAATAGCGCGTATGGGTTTGAATAATTAAGCAAGATATATCAACACTGCCAGGGGAGCGTTTCACTAACGTACTTGGGTTATCGTAACTCAAGTGTGGACGTAACTTTTTGAATTCCAGTCTTAGTGAATGTAACATGGGATATGAATTCGGAACGTTTTGGACCATTTTCTTGGTGTTTTTTTTTAAGTAAAACATTTTCGTAGTTGAGCAGTTGTATCCCAGACAAGAGAGATTGTAAAGAAAAGCGCTGTCTTGGAGTATGTTATTATTTATTTAAGATTCTTTTTCCTCTGTTAATATAAATATCCTTGTACTGACATAACAAAATGATGTCATTCTTGTGTAATCTCTCTGACAAGGCTGTCTTATCCACTTACTTTCCCTACAAAGGACTACAATATATGTATATCAGTTTCTTTAAATCCCTGATCCGTCCATCTAATCTTCACCGAGGATTTAGTATTCAAACAAATGAACGACAAAGTATTCTGTAATCGCATAGTTCACATTTATTTTTCAAGACCATGACACGAATGGCAAAGTTTAAGTGTTAAAATTTCCATTATAAACTTAATGTTCTCAAATTTTGACGGAAGTCTTAGAGAAATTAACAGCGTCGTCAGCATCGACATGCCCTGCACAACATACTATTGTTATAACGTATGCGCCTTGTTATATTTTTGTATTGTATTTTGTCATTCGGGCACTGTCATGGTTATATAGTGACTTTCAACCTTTTCTGATGTATTTGTGCGGACCAAGGGATATTAGGTGTCCATCAGTGAAATATTTCAGGCACGAGCCGGCACTTGAGCAAAAGAAACAATTTTTCTCATGTCTAATGTCTGTTGTCATGTAATTGTGACCATTGACCAAATAAAAGAATTTTGTTGTTGTTGTTGTTGTTGCTAACTCGGTAGAGTCCTCACATTGAAGACTCCCATGCGGATTTCTGACCCACAGCGGTGCGGGGTCTAGCCTTATTAGGAATATATAGATCTTATTGAAAAAATCGTAAGATTGTACTTCAAAATATTCTTTTTTATCGAGGCAGTAGAAACATATCAGTTTCATTTTATTACAAAAATAAATACATAAGGGTTTTGAATCTAGCCGAGTTTGGAATACAAAACACAAACCTGTACTTTACAGTTATACTAGTCTGCTTACGCAATCAACAAAATAAGTCAATTTTTGATAAAATTCTATTTTATTGCATTAATAAATAAATATAAATATATATTAAATCAATATATAACGAAACAAGACAAGGCGGTATAAAGAATATTACTTTTGCTGCTATCTAAAACTCAATATTTGGTAATTTTAAGGGTTCGTGCTTCATTTCATTTGTATAGCAAAATGTCCGTAAATATCGACTCCAGAATGACAACGCCGCCGACGAAATATAAAAACCATATTTTTCCTCTGTCAAGATGATCTCGTCGGATGAATAAAACCTGTGAATGATAAAACACCAAATTAATGAATATTACGGATAAATCTTACAAAAACGATGGTAGGAATATTCAAAATAAAATTGCTATATCATCATATAACCTTAAAATGCCATACTTTCCATTTTTGACTAGTTATCGTACATTGAAAAGTTCAGACAAAAAACACCACCAATATGAAACGGCTATATCATTTTTCAAAGGAAGTTCCCTAAATAGACCAAAATTGTGCTAAAAAAGTACACATGTCAAGCATTATGTAATCACATTTTTCGACAGAGATTTATCATGTTTATCAAAGATATAAAATATACACCTTTACATTTAGTTTGATTTTTATTACAGGTGCAGTGTATCTCCTTGTTATCAAATACAAAGTTTTTACTTCCATGCTGTTTGATCTTTTTTATCTTTATTTCGATCACTATATATGGACTAAATGTATTTTGCCTTCTTTACTTTGGTCTGGGGCATAATATATTACATTATATTTATGTCCCAGCTTTAGTTGACAAACAGTCATATCCTATAAATCAGTACGTCTTTTCCTTTCGCTCGTCAGGACAATATTTCATGTATTTATTTATCATGTAATTTCACGAGTCCCCGTTACTCGAAGCGAAGGTTTCAGTTGTAAATTAGTGTAAAACTATAAAGTAAGGCTGATATTTGAGTAGAGATATTAATAACATAAAAACAAATCCGAAGAAAAAATGCATTCTGGTGACAAATATGCCACGTCGGGCGCCGACTTAATAGCAATCAAAGTCTATCCGAAATTCTGGCTTAGACGGGATTATTGTTACTGCAGACACCATTTTTATTTTCCAACAATTCCCTGTAATCGTCACGTGATTGTCTTTGATTGGTTCACACTAAGCCAGCGCCGAAAATTTGAAGTAACTGCAATAATCGGTAATGATTAACCGAAAAGGTGCAATAATCAGTAATTATAACAGCAGATTTGTTTGCAATTGCTTTGATTGAAATGTGACGCAGTTGTAATTAAGCATTTTAGGGCTGAAAAAGATCATGTTTCAGTGCAATTATCCGTTAATCCAAGTCATAATACGCTTACTCTCCTTATAATTATAAAAAAAATATTCTTTTAGATTAACAGAATACAATAGACTCATCGCTATTCGTCTGTGAACACAATGTATAATAATAATAATGATGATGATGATGATGATGATGATGATGTTGATGATGATGAGAATGAGAATGAGAATGAGAATGATAATGATAATGATAGTAATTATAATGAAACAGAAATATAAATTCACTTATAAGCAACTCGTATTTCAGACTTCACACTATATAAAAGGGGTTTAAAATGAACAAAGATTTGCACAATTCTTGAAAATTTGTTTGCAGACAGTTTTTGTATACAAAATAGAATAAGATTAAAACATTAACATGAATCAGCTTAAAGTTCCATCTAGTATCTTTTTTCTTTTTTTTCAAGAATATTAAACACGTTAGTTACAGAATAAATTTAAAAGGAATTGAGGCAGTCGGCGACGGGCGGCGTAGCTTTTGATTAGCTATATTGTTAGATCTAATTTATTTTGTTTCTAGAAGAATATTAGTTTTAAGTAACATGAAAGACTGAATTAATTATGATTAAATCTATACTTGTAAGCGACATTGAAATAGAAGTAAAGATTAAGTTTAATCTATGAGGAAAACAAATATGCAAATTTATAGATTCGTTAACCGACTTATTCAAAATGTAAAATATGACCGTCAACACACTATTCATCTAAATATATATTTTTTATGGAATGCATATGTTTTTGTTGTTGTTAAAAAACAACTCACCCCCCCCCCAAAAAAAAAAAAAAAAATGAAAATTATAATAAAAAATAATAATAATATTAATAATAATAATAATAATAATAATATTAATAAAATCTGATGGAGTGAAAAACTGTTTACTATTTTTCCATACACTATTCTATTCACTGGATACAATTTAAATCAATGTCAAAAAGAAAGAAGATATTATTCTGTAAAGACAGATATGCAACGAGTTATGGAAGATATTTCACTGATTTAGCCAATTCCATTCAACGAGTTATGAAAATTATTTATTTCACTGATCTAATCAATTCCATCCAATCAGAATCTTGTAAAATTTATTACGCAATTAACCATAAATCAACCCACTAGAATCGAATATGAGCCGTGTCACGACAAAACCAACATAATGGGTTTGCGACCAGCATGGATCCAGACCAGCCTGCGCATCCGCGCAGTCTGATCAGGATCCATGCTGTTCGCTTACCAACCCTATTACAAATAGAGAAACTGATAGCGAACAGCATGGATCCTGATCAGACTGCGCGGCTGCGCAGGCTGGTCTGGATCCATGCTGGCCGCAAACGCACTATGTTGGTTTTGTCATGACATGGCTCATATGATTATCCTCTATCATCAATTAGATTGCCAGACTGCAAACCAGACTGTAAACTGTTGGTAGACCTGTTTCAACGAAATTCCTTAAAGGCCCATTAAGCCTCAAAAATGAGAATATTTTTACTTTTCAAAAGTTTTTTTATGTTTTGGTGTCCGGTTAAAGTTTACACACAATTATTCATAAACATTCTTTGCTTCTGTTACTTTTTGCCAACTAGTACAATCAAAGTGACTAATTATTTTGTATGGAAGTCAAAATACTACTTTGTTTACATTATGCTACTATTATGACAAATACTTCCAAAAAGTATTTTCTTCAGTAGGATAGTATCTAACATACTCTGAAACCATTATCTAAATGTTAAGAAATTCTTGTTTTCCCTTTCTGAAGAAAGAGTTTTTATATGTTTCTAAGGCATGGCATAATGTGCATTTAAAGAAATATATATTTTATCTATTATTACTAAAACAATTATTATTAATACTATTTTAAGGAATATGTACTATCGGATAGGCACATTATTTTATGAATTTGAGTTATTGAATAAGCTGTCCAAGCTATATCAATATGCGTGTCCAACTTGTACCTTTACTTTCGACGTGTCACATATAAGAAGGAGCCACAGCTTCTTTCCAAGGCTAGTAAGATTTTAAGCATCTCTTAATATTGACAAATCTATGTTTCTTCTTTTATCTGATACACGTAAATGCTATAATATAATATTGATAATTTTCTTACTAGAATAATTTCCACGGCAACGAATCCGATGAGACTCAGGCCCAGCATGAAATATATTGCACCATAGGAACCGTTCTTTACCCCTTGTACTATACTTAATATTATACAAATCTGAAAAAAGAAACAGTAAAAAATAAATAAATAAATAAATAAATATATAATAATAATAATAATAATAATAATAATAATAATAATAATAATAATAATAATAATAATAATAAAAAAAAAACAACAACAAAAAAAAACAACAACAATGACACGTCTTATCAAAAATAAATGAAGAATACTATGATTTTGTTACAAATCAAATATACATTGTACTTCACTAGTGAAATTATTGTGTACTATAACATTTGTGATGTGACTGTTGGAACGCAGCTAGTCTATCCATAAGCTTAACTATTCCAACTGAATATTGTAGATAGAAAACGTGAGTTCGAATCCCGCTGCTCCGTCTGTTTAACATTTAAAGTCTTTTTAACATTTATTCAATGCAATATCAGTCGAAATTTCGGGATTTTAGAATCACTGGCATGCACGCTCCTTCAAAGGCATATATTATAAATAGACACTAATATAATGACCTTTTATTCATCCAGCACGTAAGAGCACAGTATATTCCATAATGCTAGGCTTTTTTCTATAAATTTAACGAAGAAATTTGTTTTTCCCCCCAGTTCAACGAAGCTTCTATCCTGCATTAATAGGAAGTAATTGTAATGCACAAATTAATTTATTCAAACTTACCAGCACTGCAATGGCTACCAAAGCGACAAACACTACTTGGGAACGTCTCTGTAAACAAATTAATCCACAAGTTAGATTTGATGAATGTGATTATTTTGCACCGATAGCATGAATGATTTATGTAAATACTGTTACATGGCTATCACTAAATTATTATGATCACATAAATGATAACGAAAACTTCTGTTGTACATTAAATGTAAACACTGAAATCAATTCATAACTAACTGTCTATTAAACAAATGATATTATCCTAAATGTTTCGAGGGGTTAGTTTAAACGTTTTTATTTTAGTTTGATAATGAAGCGTGAAACTTGTTTGAAGTAGTCTATATTCCACTTCATAGAACCAACCAGTAACCGTGCCATATGAAAAAACATTGTCGTCATCTCAGTAGGGCTCGAATCCACGATCCCTGGGTTGAGGGGTACTCCATACCTACTAGACCACTCATCTTCCAGCAGCAACAGCAGCATATTACACTATTTTACTAACCCACATTATTACTTTATTGATTTGAACATAACGTTCAGAATATAGGTCAAAATACGAAAACACTGACGGTAACAAATGCTGGACTCGCACCCATGACCCCGGGTAAAAGTATGTAAGCTTACTTACCGCTGTTGGTGTTTGTGTACTGTCATGATATAATACTTGATCAGGTATACTCGAAGCTGGGGCTACTTCCGGTCTCTTCGGTGCCAACGCATCCTTTTCCGACATAATGAACTATTTAAAAAAAATTCTTTTAAACTTTCACTTTAAATCATTTATCCAATCTTTTAAATAACGTTAGTATTTACTTGTGTCAACAAAACGAGTCCGACATATTGAAACACCAGTCACTTTAATATTAAGCAATTCGATTGGTCAACTATTTCTTTATCGTCCAATCAAATGTTTTCTTTCAATTTATATCACATGATGCTGACTTAACAGAATCACGTGACTGATGCAGACGAACAAAAATGGCGTCAAAAGATTCGAAAGTGACCGGATTAGACAATAATGCGATTTATTATGAAGTTTCTCCAACAATTGTAAGTAATATATTGCTCTTATTGATACCGAACAAAGTTTTAAATGAATAAACATTTTAATGTTATTCTAATTTTATCTCCACCCTAACCCTATCTCCATTTTAAGCGATATTAAAATTTAGATATTCGGTATTAAACATGTATGAAATTTTGGTTTATCTATCAAAGTAAACATGTATGCCTAAACAAATACGGCAGTGATTAAAATCACAGTGTCATGTAGTTTTTTATTACTCATATATACATTTAACTTCCCTATTCATTCGTAAATACACTGAACAAAACTTATAGACCCCAACCGAATGATTTTACAACTTTAAATACATTTAAGCTCAAAAATTATATGTGAGATTAATATAATTTGTCTTAAATACTCGTGCAAAATTTCATAAATTTACAAAATAACTTAATACTTGATTATACATGACACCTGAAACTATATATATATATAACTGATAACTAATATCCGGCATTGGGCTTTGCAAATATGAATTTTCGGCCAATTTCTATAAAAATATATACCTCCTTAGGTATACAAAGACAAAAATATGCTTTGTTCCTTAAAACATTTTGTTATGTCTTCGATAAAACACCTTTTATTAATAACATGATTTAGGATATAATGTTTAACCTAGATGTAATAGTGTTAAATATAATTAGACATTAATGAAATTTCTAAAGTGTAATCGGGTTAAAATGTTTTTAAAACCTCACATGTAATCTTTTAAATGGGGGTCTTTCAAATTTATTCTATTTCAAAGACCCTGCTTAAAGGTATATTTCAACGATTCTCAAATTATGCTGTGGGAGTATATAAATTTTGTTCAGTGTATATTTTGTTGATTCAGCAAACCGTGTAACGTTCAATCATATGATGATGTTATTTATTTTCACTTTGACTTACTTTATCATATTATGTATGTTATGATACATTATACACTGCGCAGTTTCAATTTGTAGGTTAACATTTTAAACTAAAATATTGGAAGGTTTCTTATCTGCATATTTTCAACTATCATTATTTGTAACATCTGAATTGCACATGATTTGAAATATGGTTTAATCACACACCGAAGTTAAAAGTGTATGTCGGATGGGTCACAAAGAGTAAGAAAGATAGGTTAATTGTTGCATGCAAAGGGAAGTCGAATTTTACGCAGAACACATTGGATCCATTGTGAAAAAAATATGGTCGAAATAACAGCCAAAATGTTAATAACATGGAACCTGTTATATGGCTACACATGCGACAGGGAGCGAAAATTCTTATTCCTGCCCTTGCTTTTGGGCTTCATTCTGAGATTTGTAACCTTGTGTTTTATTTTGTTTACATCAACCCATTATCCAAAATACAACGCATAATTACGTGGAATGTTAAACGTTATGTGAAATATATGATTTCCCATTTACCAACGAAAATTTAGTAAGATAAATTCGTTCTAATAACCCTTTACGTTGAAACTTCGTTTGTTTCAGATTTGTATAATGCGGTTGTACAATTGTCTGGCATTGCTTATGGTACTGGTAAGTAAAATAATTACTCATTCCTTTTTTTTTGCCTGCAGGTGTCAGTGCTAAAGAGAAAAGGGGGAACCGTACGATTCACCCGGTTTAGAGTGGGTAGTGATAAAAGAGGATAAAAGAGGATACAGGGGGATTTTAGAGGTTTCCTTGTACCGACTTATGTACTGTTTCATATGACACACTTCACAGATATGTCGTCTTTGGGATTTAAATAACGTAATATGTAATATCATCTTCTGTATGGGTCGATTACTGAATTTGAAACAGAAATGAATGCTGAAACTTGCAGTCTATCATTCAATTGATTTTCCACTGGAATTTTATTCGATGACCTTGCTCTAAGTAATCATTTTCTACGTATAATGCAATATAAGCTTTGGTAAATTTTAATGCCATTCCGTCATTTGATTGGTTTAAAAAGTTATTCAATTACAGTAGCCATTTAAATCATGGGTGTCCATTTCTTGATTTTCAGATAGCTTTCATTATTTGTCTTGTGAAAGGACACGATAGTGATTCCAACTACCTCCTAGCGTGTAACCTCGTGCGTAAGTACATATTTATTTTCATATATTAACAAGCCTTTGAGACATACTTCTGATAAATTGTTTGTTTAGAGGGGCCGAATCCGGGCTTGATTTTTTGAAGAATTCCAAATCATGGAGTATTCGGTTTACCGAGTATAACTGTTTTACTTGTTTTGTGTACTTTTGAAAATTTGAAAATTGTTTTAAGTGTTGATCTATTAAATGAAAAGTTTTTTTTCTATTTAGATTTATTCATCTATCTTTGATAATTGAGTGGCAGTTGTTTTTGTATAATACTGTTTTTTATATCGTGTTATACTTTATAAAGTTTTTTATTATATACTTATAAATGAAATATTGAGAAATATTGGGGAAATAAAATGCGTATATTCATTTTCCGTATTTTCACCGTATAAAAATAATTTTCACTGCAGTGAACCATATTTTCCGTATTTTCATTGGTGTCTTTCTTCTAAATTCAGTCAATATACAAAAGTTAAGGGAAAAACTTTCAAACTGTAATGTGAAAAGAGAGAAAAAAAATAACAACAGAAAATTCAGGTTTTTGCTATCAATACTGGAATTATTTTCATCTTGTAGTATTAAAATTATCAAATTTCAGTCGTGGCTACCGCCACTCATGAAATGAATATTTATTTTCATACCACTCGATGAAAATAAATCCTGTATTTATAGAAAAAAAACTTGAATAACCTCTATATATTTTTCAGTAAGTGGACTTATTGCCATAGTAGTTGTAAGTATCTTTCTCTTTATTTATTTGTACAAATAATGATGTTGATAATGATGATGGTGATGATGATTATGATTATTATTGTAATGATGCTGCTGCTGTTGATAAGAATAAGAAAGTCGAGAGACATTCGTTTCAAACATTTTCTTCTGAAAAGGATAAAGATGATAATGTTGTTGTTGTTGTTGAATTGATGACGATGCTGTTGTTGTTGATGATGGTGATGGTGGCGGTGATGGTTTTTGTACGAAATGTTTATGATAACCTTTGTGATCATTCCGATAAATTTAGTCATATAACACGAAAGTATTTTAACAAATGAAAAACGCTGCATACATCAGTCCAAAATTCTTTTTTCTTGTTTCTTTCTTATTAGTTTTTGTTTTGAAGATTAAAAAAATAATGAAAATTGTAAGTTTTAGACGAATAATAATGTCCAATGCAACACAGTTCAAAATTTCGTCGCGAAATAAACGTCGTGGTAATTTGTGCACATATTTCGATGACGTCATATGACGTTGACGTTAAGATAACGTCATCTCATAGCAACCGCACCATAGAGCAAAGCTTGAAAGACGCATTCTTTTACGAAGAAGAAAATTTTACATTTACAACGAACACAACAAGAAATAATGAGTAGAATTAGACTGGCAAATGAAGACAAACATCAGACAAATAGTTCAACAGGTTTGAGAATATTTTTATGATTTTTCACTCGTAACAAACTAATTTCTTATTTGAATTGCTTATTCTTGAATGTTACTGAATTGCTCCGACTTTACAGATGTGCTGAAAATAGTTTTTGATGCATATTATTTTGTGACAACGTTTCAAGTTATCCATTTTATGCTAAAAAGGAATAACTTAGTAATACAAAACTATTTGAGAAATCTAGATCTACTGTCTTTCTTTTTACTAATTTCTTCTGTAAAATTTCAGATAAAACTTTGAACTACGCAGAGGTTTTGAAACCAATACCTGTGGAATTAGAAACCTCACCTATTGGTTCCCTGTCTTCTTCAAGTTTAGGGACACAACACGATTCACGTGACATACTTGACATACAGAAGATTGCAGACGACATAGCCGATGCTAAAAGAGATAGAATTTCGAGATATATTGATGGTAATCAACTGTTGTGTTTTTAAATATTTTAATGTAATCATTTTTTTAAAGAAAGTCCATGTTAGAAGTTCAGTAGGTTAAAGGTTAACTCTGTTCAGTGATTCTGGTAAATATTAGGTAACAAATTAGACATCAAAGTGCCTAAATAATGTGTAATTTTTATTAAATTACAGAAGCTGAGAGGAGACAGTATATTCCACTTGTAGAAGCTGACTTTGAGGCCATCAGAGAGACAGATAGACTTCTTGAACAAGCCTACGACTTGTATTTTACACGTAAATATAATTTCTCTCATATAATAATCATGATGATGAGGCTGATGATGATTATGATAATAATTTAATAATAATAATAATAATAATAATAATAATAATAATAATAATAATAATAATAATATATTGATAATAATAATAATAATAATAATAATTGTAATAATAATAAACAATTGCGGATATAGAATTCAAAGTTTTACGTTCACCGAAATTTCATGTCTATTTTCTTATGAAGACGTATTAAAGAATGTGTTGTCTTGAATTTCTTTTAAAAATACATACCAAAACTAAAATAAAGATAAAGCTCTTCCTATCTCTTTGGCTTTTAATATGTTAAGTTGCATTTTAAAAACTTGCAATGACAAAAGATATTAAAAAGTTGAAATGGGATTTATGAAAAGATTGAAACTGAAAATGTAAAATATTCACATTAGACGTTGTATCTTTTAATCCGGATAATTACATGTACTAATAAAATATAAATTAAGCATGACATAAAGTCATGAAAAACGACATTTTTCTGTTTCATTGTAAACCCTTTATTGCTGTAGTATTCGTGCATTGTACAATAATATAAATCCTTAAAAATAATTTCAATTTATTTTTAGCCGGCTTGAGCAAGGACCGCAGATTAAAAAGAAGGACGAAGGCCATGATTGCCCGCCTAGAGAGCAAGCCACATTTTTACTGCCCATACGAACGTGAAGAATCAACCGAAATCCATGTCACTCGTTGGTTAAATGCCTACACTGCAAACCCAGAAGAAGAGTTATTTGGCTTCACCTCTAGAGATCCATATGAGCCGAAAAGAGTTGTTCCCGAGGTTGCACCAAGAGCCGTTATCAGTGATACTAACGTGGTCCTTGGAAAACGCAAGAGAGCAAGAGATGATGAGCAAGATTTAGTCGGCGTGAGCATGAGCAGTTCTGACTCAAGGTTGTTTTGTGAGCATGGAAATAGGCCAAAGAAAGTCAGAAAATCTCGATAAATGTTTTTTTTTATTGCGCATTATTTTTTTTTTCATTTATCGATAATCATGTTTAAAAACGAAATCATTTTTAAATATCTCAATAAAATGAGATTTAACTGCAAATATGAGTTGTTATCAATGGTATCAGTAGATATACATGTAGTGTCTATTTATGGTTCTATCTATACCATCAATTGATAGAGAAAACAATGACGAGGACGAAGATGCATACCACAAAAAAAATCCAGTCAAACTCGAGAAAAATGTACTAAGATTATAGGATAAGTAAAACTAATCAAGATTCGGATAATATATACCATGTTTTTGCCGATTAATGACTAATTTTGTGTATTTATCACCATATTCCTACTGCGTGACTAACACAGTAAGGGTTATTTTGCATACTTTGATCACTTTTAGGTAATAAGCATTGATTATAAATGTCGTCAACAATGTGTAAATTACTTTCATTGTTCATTCCACACTTTTGTACTTTTAAAAAACATTTTCAAAATTTTCATGAAAATTAGCATAAATTTTTAGGCATGCACCTTTGAGAATGACATTGATACATAGGGCATTATACGTATATACAAGCATATTTCATGAAATGAAAGTCACCGGAAGCGGACTAAAGGGCAGGTCAAACAAGGATCAAACTTACTTCATTTATTAGACTGAAATCTTTTGACCTAAAATCTAAAACCCCATATGGCAGATATAATAATAATAATAATAATAATAATAATAATAATAATAATAATAATAATAATAATAACAATAACAATAACAATTAATAATAATAATAATAATACGATGATGATGATATACAATTGTTAAAACAAATAACATATCTTAATTTTAAATGTGGCTTTCTGAACATTGTATAAAAAAACTAAAAGAAATAAAAAAACAACACCCAAAAAACAACATCATCAAACAACAATAACAGCAACAACCATTCCATTGAGACATCATACAACAAACAATTTGTTTGATGCATACATGATACATGCATACCGAATTGTGTAAAACGATTGTCCTCGTATTAAACAGTGTTTATAAACAAAACAAGAGGGCGTTAACCAAATTATAATAATTTCGAACTACGCGTCGTCAATACATATATTTTCGTCTGTTTCACTCATTCCCGGACACACACTATAGTAACTGACATCTATTTTTATTTGGACACAATAATTTGTTATTTTGATGGTATTTTTCTATGATATTTCCCGGACATAAAGCAATTCGCAACTTCCGTAGATAAACAAAGAGTTGTGACGAAGAACATAGTTTTGAATTTCTTAATACCGATAGGCCAAAGATAATGAAGAAATAGACTCAAAAACTAGTTGAACGTTAATTTTTGTGCTTTTCTTTATATAGATTTGAGTGAAAAGCGTTACAACACCTTATAATTTTGGGAAGTAGGATAATTTATCTGGGAAAATGAAATGAGCGAATGATCTGAAATTTTGAACACAAGTTATAAGTCTAGGCCTACATCAAATAGAACATTAATCCCGAAACACTATCTCCTAGAAAAATTTGTCTCCTAGTCAAAAACATTAGTGGAGTCCCTTTAATCGCACTATAGTTATTTTTTCTAAATTGCTAATTCAAATCTTTGTATTTTACAGAACTGGTGGTACAGGCGGCATGAATTGGTCAGTTTGTTTTATTTTATCCAAGTTTAATGTATTTGACTAGATATTTACATATTAACAAGTAATTCCAATGCATAAACTATGGCCGTCTTGTTTTACATAAAAAATTGTATGCTTAAAATACACTTCCGGTTGGTTTTTAGGTACATGTACTGGAATATTTTCTGAAAAAATGTCTTTATTTTATTTCAGCCGGCTGACAAATATTGGTATATCTTCTTACTATCATCTGTTATCATATTTCAAACCATTACGACGGATATATATGTATTTCACGTTTTACCGACTGCAGCTCCGACACAACATCCGCCGATAACCTTGACTACAAAACCATATACAGGAACTACGGTGACGTGGGTTACTATAAATAGTTCAACAATAACGCCACCGCCATCAGCGTTCCCGTTTCAACTTATGCCGCCCACAAATTGAAGACATTTTATCAAATTTATTGTTATTCATGTCATATTCATGGAAACATAGTACAAACATCAAATATATATAATCTAATGCTATAGAAGAAGAGGATTTTTATCATGTGAATATCAAATGCTTTATTAGAGATAGTAAAACACGTTTATGCAGTGGTACCCATGTTGTGACAAAGTTCTACGCAAAACGCATCAGGGTAGCAATATGTCCTTATAAACTGTTCTTCAACTGGATGAATAGAAACTGATTGTTTAAAAAAAAAAGTGAAATATCAAAATGCTATAATGTATGATGTTATATATGTGTATGTGCGTATATTGAAAATTAATTATTTATAAATGATTGTATTATTCGAATCGGTGCATGTTTTTGTTGGAAATTAAAACAAATTTGTTTTTAGTAAAATGTTTGTCATTATATAGCTAACAAATTAATGTTAAAAATTGAAGTTTAGGTTGGTTTACACAGAAATTATTTTACTTTGATTGTGCAGGAAGCTATAAGCTTCTATATACACTTTCGAATCAACCAGTACTGAGCAATGAGTGTAAGTTTCTTGATCAAAGAAACAACGGCTTGCTCATATATATTTAGTTATGCTCGGCAGAGGCTCGTTAAACAAAAGTTTGTGTAGCGCCCTTTAATAGTTTCATATCAGCCATTGTTACAAACCTGTGTTAATGCAAAAAAAATTTGCACATTACCATGAAACAAGCATGGATATATTTTAAGTAAAATAAAGTACAGGGACCCAACACAGTGTTGGGATTGTGCAAAAAAGTAAGTCTGGACTGTAAATCGATAAAACAAATTCAAAGGAACAACTTACCGCCGGAAATGGCTTTTTAAAATGTTTAATTACATCTGTAAACAACTAATTTCTGAAAGTGAAATCAGCATCCATTGGCTATCTGGGGACAGATTTGAAACGGATTAATTCATTGGTTGATTAAAATACGAAGCTGACCTGGGTCACGGTATCGTCTATTAGAAATCAAATGGCGTCTTACAACCTGAGCCGAGTATGTATCATGGCTTCAAAAATATTTTAACGGAAGAGTAATAAAAAGAACTGAATGTTTGTTATAATTGATTGGTTTTGGAACAATTTCCAGCAGTAAGTTGTTTCTTTGGTTTTGTTTTATCAATTTATTGCGGGTTGGTACAATGACATGGTTTGAAATTGTGTTTTTACACGTAGAAAATCGAGTGGGGACAGGTTACACGTTCGTGTCCGACCTAGCAAAAATACGATATTCTATCCGAAATATCGGTTTGTTGTTCAAAAACGGTTTAAGTGGGGACAATAATGTTATTGTCAACGTCTAGTGATGTCATTTAGCTGCAATTTGTCATATAGCTTTATATGATTTATGTAAAAATGACTACAATTTTGATACTGGACTATATGGACAAAAGCTACTTAAGGAGTAAACTCCTCTATCCTTACTCAAAATACGTTATTTTACCTGTTGTACTTTGTGCACAGCCATTTTCCAGATTTAGCTTGTTTGATTAATTATGTACACTTAAGCTTCTTTAAAGGTTTCATAAAAAGTATTCACTACACCAAATCACGATTAAGGTGTTTCTTGTATTGAACCACGTTGTTCCATGCATTAAATCCATTCAATATCCGGGGTAATAGAAACTGTTAAAAACACAGCCTTTATGTAACATATAACTCAACAAGTTATAGTGAAGATAATTTTATTGATTCCATGATAAAAATCTTATGTCAATTCATTTCTTTATTTGTAAAACCAATTCGTTATGCATAGTCAGCAAATTTGGCTTTTATTCTAAACTTTGACATTTGGCATGAAAATATGATTTTAATTACAACTATAGTAATAGTAGATCTATTTTGTCAATTTATCCGAGCACGTCTTTCTATGTCTACATTTTTCTAATTTAAAAGCTGCTTTTTTACATTTAATAACTAGTAAATAATCCAAATTTCAATAACGGACCAACAATTCATAATACTTGTTATAGAATGACGATTTTAATGGAAAAAAACAGAATATATACATAATTAAATGATATATAGAAAAGAAATATAAATAAATTACTGTCATCAAAGGTTGAATAATGGATATAAATAAAAATAAAGAAAGAATTACATGTATACGAAACGACACATTTCAATATCAGAAATTGTTGATCCAAAATTTATAAAACACTAAAATAAAAATGGTTTTGATAGATTTTAAAAGTGTACTTTATCTTTAAGATAAAGAGATGCAGAAAACTTTTGATAAAAATCAAAATTCTTAGAAAAATAATAATTAAGAAAAAGAAGTTCATTCGTTCTTAAACTGGATGATACATACTATCATAGAAAACATGGCAGCTAAAAGTTATGAAAGGTTTTAAAATACAGTACATGTCATAATTTAATAAAGGAATGGACCAGAAAAATCAAAATCTGGTGGTTTTATTAAAATATCAGGTTCGAATAATAACGCAATTTCGTATTATTGCGGACACTTAAGAGTGCCAGTGTCCGAAAAAAACAACAACAACATGAAAACCCTAAAGGAACCGCAAGGAAATTAGTATATAAACAATTTAAACTCGATCGGCATAGGTATTAATATGACACACCGCTCTCCCTTTAAACAAGAGCGATCAGTGATAACATGTGTCGCCTCATGATGGCCAATTTCATGTTGAGACAAGTTTTGTGACAGACGGACAGTGCGCAACAAGACTTGGTACTGATCATTCCTGTAAAGTTTGGATAAAATTGCACCAGTAGTTTATGAGGAGTAGTCCGGACAAGCTTTTGTGTATCTGGCAACACAAGGACTTGAGCAACAGATCAATCCTGTAAAGTTTCATTGAAATTGCATTAGTGGTATAAGAGAAGTAGTCCGGACAAACTTTAAAAATAAAAATTATTAAAGGGCCATAACTCTGACAAAAATCATTGAACCGGAAAATGCTGACAATATGCACAACTAGACTTGGTACTGATCATTTCTGTAAAGTTTGGATGGAATTGCATCAGTAGTTCATGAGGAGTAGTCCGGACAAGCTTTTGTGTATCTGGCAACACACAGAAAAAAACACCTATTTATCAAAGGGCCATAACTCGGCCAAAAATCATTCAACCGAAAAACCCGTGCAATATGCGCAAGGACTTAAGCTACAGATCAATCCTGTAAAGTTTCATTGAAATTGCATTAGTTGTATAAGAGAAGTAGTCCGGACAAACTTTTTGTGACGGACGGACAGACGGAGGTTCTTACCAGAGCTACATTATGGGGTTTTCTTTTGTTATTTCTTTTGTTCTTTTTAACCCCACAATGAAGAAAATAACCCCACAAGAGAAACGGAATGAATGACATCAAAGACATCTATTGTTATGAGAACAATAGACCAAACCCCATTATGTAGCTCTGGTTTGTACGGACAGACAGACAGACGGACAGACATACGACGGAGAAGTGATCCCTATATGTCGCCACTACTTCGTAGAGGCAACACAATAAAACGATATTATGCGAGCTTCTGACGGGTTTAATATTAAGTTAATCAACGAGTTCAAAAATTCAGTAATAAATCTACACGAATATAATATTCTGTTTATCACATACCCAGATAAAAGACTGCTCTTAAAGTGAAACAGAATCACTTTCATTGACAAGCCTACAGTGTAACGCTTACATTTAGCGTGTCTTTACACTCTGTTTGTATAACGCAAATGACGTCATGTCAAAAAGTATGCACGGCCGTGCAATTCCACTTTTACGGAGTCGCAAAAGCGGCACGGGTATGTGATAAATTGTTTTATTTCCATTCTACCGACTTTTTGTCTACTAAGCACTCGCAATTCGAATACAAGAAATAGAATAAGGAAAATCGATGGGATGGGCCCAGATAAACTAGAAATAACATTTCAAACAATTTGTACACAGTCAACACAATCAGAAAATATATTTAAGTATACAAAACAATTTGTAGAATATAAAGGAACAACTTATATTTACACATCAAGTAAATCAATGCAACATTAGGTTAATTATATTATTTTGTAACTCGTTCATATTCAAAAGATATAGTACATTGATTAACATATTCTCACATGCAAACACTTCATTTCTCAACTCATATACAGAACATACAAAATCACAAACTCAAAAATTTTAAGTAAATATTCGGCTAATTCTTTAAATTATAATAAATATAGTATTAGACCTACGACAAGATATATACACAGAATATTTCTTTAAAACTGTTCAAAACAGTCTCAGAATAAAATAATAAAACATATTGATATATTAGCCACATCTTGCTTGCATAGTATAAACATTTATGATATTTATATTACATAAAATAGTGTAAAAAGAGATCAATTTTATACTTGAATGATGGTTTAGTCGGAACTAGCATTTGAAGGCAGCATTTTATAAAAGGTTAATGTATGGAATGATTAAATTCAGTAAGTAGCACAAAATATTTCACAAACTCAAATATAAATGTTTTAAACCAGAATAGGAGTGATGTAAATGTTATATTGACAAAATACTACAAAAATAACTAATAGACATACATTGTACTCTGTTAAGATTACACTGTGTTTTGAATACCTGATAGAAAAAAAAACACAATGAAATAGTGATAACTAGAAATGTGTCCATAGGACACGGGTGCCCCCACCGCGCCACTGTTCTGTCAATCTTATGACTCTAGGTCAAATATTTTTTGAAAACTAAAAATCTTTTACTAAGTAAAGGGCAAGAACTTTACAAATACTGAATAAATCCACAAGCAAACCCCAAGCTGCATAAGTACACATGCTGACCAACATTCTTGTAAACTTTCAGGCCTACAAGTGAAATACTTTTTGAGCTATGCATGAACAAGTTGAAAATTGTAAATTTATACTGCTGTAAGTCAAGGGCAATAACTCTAACAAATCTGAAAAAATCCACATGCAAAGTCCCAGGTTAATTCTAAGCTTCACAGTGATGTGAATCATTATTCCTGTAATTTAGTGATGTTGATCATTATTCCTGTAAAGTTGGTCGATTCTAACTCAAGCACTCAAGGAACAAATAACAACATAATGAAACGGTTTTTACTAAGTCAAGGGAAATAACTCTACCAATACTGAATAAATCCACAAGCAAAACCCCAGGTGCAAAACTAAATATGCTGAGCAACCTTCCCGTAAGGTTTAATGACTCTATGTCAAATTCTTTTTGAGTTACATGCGACACAAGTTGAAAATTGCAAAAAAAATTCTAAGTCAAGGGCAATAACTCTAAAAATACTAAATAAGTCCAGACGAAAATACCCAGGTACACAACTACACATGCTGATCAATATTCCTGTAAAGTTTCATGACTCTATGTCAAATCCTTTTTGAGTTACATGCGACACAAGTTGAAAATTGCAAAATTTTAGTAAGTCAAGGGCAATAACTCTAAAAATACTAAAACTATCCAGACGAAAATACCCAGGTGCACAACTACACATGCTGATCAACATTCCTGTAAAGTTTCATGACTCTAGGTCAAATATTTTTTGAGTTAGTGCGACACAAAAGAGAACGGACGGACGGAAGGACCGGACGGACGGATGGACGGACGGACAAGGGTAAATCTAAATGCCCGCCACTTAAGTGGGGGCACAAAAATCACAAACAATAAGCACTAACAAAACCATAACAAAACAAACAAAAATAAATAAAAAATGGGTCAAAGACAGAAAAGGCCGGGTTGCATTTGTATACCAAATATCATGAGGCTGTGATGTTACAAAATATTTTCCATTTGACCATTAATGTTGAAAATTTAACGAAGTCGGAAAACAGGAAATGGAAGAGTGACAGACCTGATATCAAATCCCACTATATGGGACCACTAGTTAATGCTGTATGCCAAATATCACGAGGCTGTGATAAGTAGTTGCTGAAAAAACTGTTACGAAAATTTCCTACCATTGACCATTAATGTTGAAAATTTAACTAAGTCGGTAAACAAGAAATGGAAGAGTGACAGACCTGATATCAAATCCCACTACATGGGACCACTAGTTAATGCTGTATCTCAAATATCACGAGGCTGTGATAAGTAGTTGCTGAAAAAACTGTTACGAAAATTTCCTACGATTGACCATTTATGTTGAAAATTTAACTAAGTCGGTAAATAGATGAAGTGGATGAGCGACAGATCTGAAATCGACTCCCACAGTATGGGATCATGTGTTAATGCTGTATGCAAAATATCAAGAGGCTGTGATAAGTAGTTGTTGAAAAAACTGTTACGAAAATTTCCTATCATTGACCATTAATGTCGAAAATTTAACTAAGTCGATAAACAGAAACAAGGATGAGTGACAGATTTGAAATCAAATCCCACAGCATGGGACAATGTGTCAATGGTGTATGCTTAATATCAAGAGGTTGTGATAAGTAGTTGCTGAGAAAACTGTTACGAAAATTTTTCCCCGCCCGCCCATAGCCCATCATTCACCATACTATAACCCAGGTTTGCACATGTGCAACCCGGCCAAAAAACAAAAAAGAGCAAACAACAACAACAGAATGACGATTGTAAACACAACTAGTATGTTAGAGTTACTCCTTATAAATGTATTGTTCACAAGTTAAGAGCCTAGTTAAAAATAATATATCATTATTACTACAGAAAATAATGCCGCCAGCATTACGAAATCAATTTCTTACAACAGTATACTTGGCTAAACTAGTTACAGACAAGGTGTACTGTTCCCATGTTATAATACATGATCTGACATACTGTCATGAACTGATTGACTGATTATATAATTATGATGTAAAATTGACGTCAGGCTAAGGTATAAACAATTAATATGTTGGCGCCTTTTTACTATACATCTATTTGAAAAGACAAAGTCTAATTGAAACAATGAAATGGTACTCTATTGCACACATACGTATGTGGGTTAAAATACAACTGATAAAAATTAACAGCCCTATATCAGTGAAAATCTAATCCGATATGATCATCAATACAAAACAACAAGAAAAATAAGTGGTATTTCTGGACATTAGACCTCCATGAGCAATTATTATTGGACGTTAAACACCAGAAAAACCAAATAAAGAAGAAGCTGCATCTCTGGGCATTGGAACACGATCCAGAGAACGGGCGGTAGACTAAGTCGTATATAGAGACTATAGCATTGCCGATGAAATGTTAGATATAGAACACCATCCAAACCAAACCCATCTATCAAATGCTTGTTGGCGACATACTGACAATAAAAATGTTATGCCAAATTTTGAAGCGTTTTAGATACACCATCCAAGAAGGGAGGACGGGACAATCAGTTTTCGAGTCCGTAATCGTAAAGTGTACCTACATCTCTTAAACCATGTGAATGTCAACGCAGATGTAAAAGAGACTGCGTTGAAGATTTTGGAAAAAAGGTAAAATGATGATGATGATGATGAAAATATTAGTTAAGTCACGATACCCTTTACAAAACAACAAAAAAACTATGACCAGACCAAGAGAGTATCAAAACTGTACTGTTATCATATATTTTCAAAAAGTTATACATTTTTACTTAATCATCTGTTTCGTGACCGAATATCTCTGTACATAACTCAACATTTTCTTTATTCATGATTTCATAAACAGACTGAAGCTTTACCCCTTGTTCAATGCAAAGACACTGTTGTGACCAGTTTGCCTTAAAATGTTCCATTGATGGGTCGTAATACCACTCTGGGTATCCACAAAGCAACACGGTGACAACAACCTTCCGACCATCGTTTAAACATACAATACCCGGAGACCCTGATGCACCTTTAGTGAACTTACAATGAAATAAAAATCTATGCTTGTTTGTAAGAGTTCTATATGGTTCGAACTCATAATCTCTTCCCTGTGGGTGCTGATCACATTTTGTGTGATCTTTACTCTTCACCCTTACATAAGCTCTGTTAACCTTGGTTTCTTTACTATTCATATCAACAATCTTATCAACTTTATTTATACCTAAAGGTTTACCCTCAGAATGCCCTACGAAGAAAAACTCCTGTGTAGAGTCGGGTGCTCGAAAGTAAGACAAGGGTGGTGGCATCGGAGTACCATATGCACTTTGAGAGAGCTCTAATACAGCTATGTCAGTCTTTGCGTTTCGAAAAGGTACGTTTCCCGTGAAGCTAAATTTGTTTTCCGTTTTTATTTCTCCTTCTTTTAAATACCCAAATACTGCATAAACACTTGCATTGGAGAGCGATGTTCGATTCGGTCTGCCGATACGACGAAACCCTGGAAGAAAAAAAAAATAGTCGTATGCTGGCAATTATATTTAAAGATTCATTTATTTTTGTTGTCTAGAATTTTTTTTATCTAACCCTTACTCCGCCTTTGGTGTCTCGTTAGTTTCCTATTACATTTTGCTACCCTACTGAATAGTACTGAGCACCGTTCCAGTTGTTTGTGTTGCAAGATTGTTTGGGTCTTTAATTTAGTGAACCTTGTTCTGCCTTGTTGGTATTAACTCTCATGTTTTACCGTCTTAAATATAAGCATTTTGTCAGACTAAGACTCTTTAATTTTTATGACTTATCCAAGTTTATCCAAGTCAAGAAAGCAACACAATAATAGTTAAAAAATTGAAAACATTTTTGATTAAAGGAAATGATCTAACCTGTTTGCTCCATAAGTTCTACAACATGTGCAGCCGTCATAATGTAGTTTTTGTTAAAACCAACACGAAACCCAGTTGCCGATCCTAGTGGAAAACAGATCATGCACACAGACTGCAGTGCCTCCCCATGTGCTTGCCACATTAAAGCAGATTCTTCGTATCCGGATGTGTCAATGAAATTTCCCCATGCAGATGCATTTGATTGACTATAGAATCTTTGAAAAAGCCTTTTATCTTGTAATAATGAGTCTGAAATATCAAGCATGTTATGATAGACATATATATCCGAATTGTTTACAATACATTCGTGTCCTTCTAAAACGTCAGTTAAATGTAACTCTTTTCTAATCATAATAAAAGTAATAACTATGAAAATTAATGTTCGATCTTGTTTAAACGTATGGATTCTATGGTTATTTCGAAGCAATCTTTCTTGAACCAACCTCAAATTCGTTTTCTGGGCTAACTAGTACTGGTGTCATATGAGGAAACATTGGTCCTGAACCTACATGAATAATCCTACGATTGAAAGGCATAAGTTTTGACCACTGTAGTACAGGTATGGGTTTTCATTGCAAATTTGCCCAACCAAAAGTCAGTAAGTTGTTTCTACTTAGCTATTAGCGAACTTCGGATATAACGAACGATATTTAATGTCCCATTGAGTTTGTTATCAGCGGAGTCGACTGTATACACCTTAAATGGTAGACGAGGTCTCCCTTTGGATTGAACAAATTCTGTTAATTAATTTCACTTTACCTGCTCTTGATTCTTTACGTCGTTTTGCATTTACACTATTGTCAGTACACTCAAATGCTCTTTTTTCGCCGCTTTTTTCATTCTCACGTTGCTTACGAGTATTGCCTAAAAATTGAACATAACACATATATTTACAAGATCTAAATATATTTATGTAACTTAATTACTGAATATATTAAAACATTTTGAATATTCACAGTAATCGAAGTGACATTGTACTACATAGAAACATCATTATTCCTCATGACAAATTGATTCGCAAACAAGAATGTATTTGACATTATTCTGTTGAAATGTATTTGACACAGTCTTATTGTTTGGCGCAATATTATATTTCTATTTGCAAAAAAAAAAATGAATACGAAAAACAATGCTTGAACCTTTTTAATTATTAACAGAAGGTATTTCAGAAGAAGTGCATCTACTTTTCTCTTGACAGTAAACTGAACACTGTCACGGTGAACTTGACATTTTGTCGAAAAATAAGTATTGCGAATAGAACCTTTCAATCTGCATACAAAAGTCTGAAGTTGCCAGGTCATTTTTATTTAATAACCAATTCTATGTTTTGACATGACAGGCTTTGAACAGAGACATTGACCTTACAAATGAAAATGAGTGCGGTAGATAGGGCTGCCTCAAGGTGAATCTAAATATCTATAGTTTCGATGTGATAATGTTGCTAGTATCATATATAATGACGAAAACCTAACCTCAAAGTTTAACCAAAGCTGACGCCGTCGGGTGGGTCATCACAAAAACTTTTTTTTGAACAATTGACCTAAAATTGGCAAACCGACTATGGTTAAACTTTGGGTGTCTAAAACTGTATTTAAATCTAGTTTTTGAAGGGAAATTCACATAAAGCTATTTAGAAAAGAAAACTTATGAAATCAAAGACCAACTTTTAACTCAATGACACCAGATATTTCAAAAAGGCCGATAAAGAAAAAGATGTCAATTATCAAAAGGGGTTTAATTGTGAACAAACGAATAATACACAATTGTATCAACTTGTTGAAGAATTAAATTGTGAATTTAAATGATTGTTTGTTAATTTGTCATACTTTTATTCCGGATGATAGACGATGTTCCACTGATACTTCTGTTGTCACAGTCTTCGAGAAATACTATCATTTTAAGGAAAACAGACTGTTTATCCTTAATGGTATCGCCTGAAATTTCAATAGTAGTATATACAAATAAAATATGAGCATATTTATTTGCCTTTAATATTAACCCGGAAACATTATTGTTACGGACAATTTTATTTCACACAAAAAATTGATTTGCAGCTAAAATAACTTTTACAATACCCTTTCGTTGCTTTACGGTAAGATGAGTAATCAAAAACTAGTCGAGTGCTGGCTAAGAAATAGAAAAAAAACTGCAAAGAACTGAATCAATGAAATAATTGGTTCTGATTATCTCAAAACTGGAGGTACACTCTGAAGAGTCACCTGGTGTCTGAAGATTTATGTTTGGTTTCTAATCAGAATTTATTTTCAAATGAGAAAGTTTTCATAAAGGACACCGTCAGTTTTACATGTCTCAAATCTATCATACTGTTATACACTTACATAACTTGGTGTCCATCACGTCGCAATTGTTAAGGTACGCTTTCCTGGCATTCATATTGTCCTGGTATTCTTTTACACGTGGCATTATAACAGAAACTCCAAGCAGTCTGACAATATAAAATGTAAATTTAGAAATTACAATGTCATTCAAAGGTTAATTATACTATAAAATGTTTTTTTTATTTCTCAAAATCTTTTCATTTTTGATGTACTTTTATAGTTTCAAAACAGTTGCTCATTGGCCAATTACTTGAACAATTTGTTTCTTCTGTTGCTTTTTGCAATTAATACAGTTATTTTGTGATTTAGTATGGAAATCAAAATACTATTTGTTTACATTTTCTTACTTTTATGACAAATAATTTCATAATTAGAGTTACTTTCTTTAGGTAACAAATATCTAAAATGCTCCTAAACCATTATTTTAACGTTGTCACACTTATGCTTGTTCTTTCTAAAGTAGTAAACAGTTAGTTTCTGAGGCATATAATGTGTCTACAATTAATGTAATGAAATGAAGTATTTATAAGAAAACAAACATTAAAAAACTGTTGTTTTTTCATATTTAAACTCTATATATATTACAATCATCACGGATTAATTACATTCGGATATCCATATCACGAAATTTATTACTGTACAATATATAAGATCGAAATTAATGATTAAATTTGAATTGATTAAACATGCATCATGTCAGGTCTTTCAAAATATCTATTTGAAAGACCCTGATCATGCCAAAGCAGCAAAATTGACACGCGGCATAATATTGACATGTAAGAATATACACAGCTCACTTCACTGGGGTATCAGATTCAATCAAACACTTTTGTTTAAAAACACCTTCTTCGCAGTTGGACCCGTGTAGATTGAATGGATGCAGATAATCGTCCCCATCTACACAAAATGCCACAACTGTTGCATTTCCTTTGTAATTTGTAACCTGTAAACAAATTAACAGATCAAATAGATATATGAAAAATTTAAAACATCAAAAGTTCACCCCAAACGAGTCACAGCAAGATTACTTTCTAAAAAATCTGATATGTTCAATCGCTTATATATCTTTTATCTTCGGGTGAAGCTCACCGAAGAGGAATCCTGTTAAAATAGACCAAACTATTGATGGCATTCATCGAAATGTGTCTCATCTCTCAAGTGTAAGTTTAGTAAAAGTCAATTTTTCAACACTAATGGTAATCAAATCTGTTTTCCACAAAACACACTAGGATACGTAATTTATCACGTGACTACGAACATTACTCATTTACTGAAGCGTAATCTGATACAAAAAAAAAATAGAATTCAATCTGTATACAATATGCAATATGTTTTGCCTATAGATACAATATCAACTTACAGAAACTGATGCAAGATGGCCATTCACTTGTTTTATTTGTCCGTCTTGTTTGCTTTTAGCTTTCTTTACAACTGTTTCTAACTGTGACTTGTAACGGAACGCCCCACAATCAGGCGATATATCAACACATACTCGAGGGTCATCGTTGTCAGGGCTGCGACTCTCTTCACCGACTGTTGGTTCTTGTTTCACTTTTAAAACATGGAAAGGTGGATTCATATTGTCGTCAGAGTTATCTGAGAGTGAAGGATGAGACGGAAATGAAATGAAATTAATGGATGTCGATTTCCCCAAAGAAGCATGAAATCAAAAATGAATTGGTTAAGGATCACAGGTTCGGTCACCGTCGGCCACCCACGGCCGTACCATTATCAACTTTATTGATAAGATGTTATGTAACATGTTAATCAAAAATGGGTATCCGATTGTTTTATATATATTACAATCATCACGGATTAATTACATTCGGATATCCATATCATGAAATTTATTACTGTATAATATATAAAATCGAAATTAATGATTAAATTTGAATTGATTAAACATGTATCATGTCAGGTCTTTCAAATATCTATTTGAAAGACCCTGATCATGCCAAAGCAGCAAAATTGACACGCGGCATAATATTGACATGTAAGAATATACACAGCTCACTTCACTGGGGTATCAGATTCAATCAAACACTTTTGTTTAAAAACACCTTCTTCGCAGTTGGTCCCGTGTAGATAGAATGGATGCAGATTATCGTCACCATCTACACAAAATGCCACAACTGTTGCATTTCCTTTGTAATTTGTAACCTGTAAACAAAATATACAGATCATATAGATATATGAAAAATTTGAAACATCAAAAGTTCACCCCAAACGAGTCACAGCAAGATTACTTTCTAAAAAATCTGATATGTTCATTCGCTTATATATATATTTTATCTTCGGGTGAAGCTCACCGAAGAGGAATCCTGTTAAAATAGACCAAACTATTTATGGGATTCATCGAAATGTGTCTCATCTCTCAAGTGTAAGTTTAGTAAACGTCAATTTTTCAACACTAAAGGTAATCAAATCTGTTTTCCACAACACACACTAGGATACGTAATTTATCACGTGACTACGAACATTACTCATTTACTGAAGCGTAATCTGATACAAAAAAAATAGAATTCAATCTGTATACAATATGCAATATGTTTTGCCTATACAATATTTCCAACCATTCAAAACTTACAGAAACTGATGCAACACAGCCATTCACTTGTTTTATTTGTCCGTCTTGTTTGCTTTTTGATTTCTTTACAACTGGTTCTAACTGTGACTTGTAACGGAACGCCCCACAATCAGGCGATATATCAACACATACCCGAGGGTCATCGTTGTCTGGGCTGCGACTCTCTTCACCGACTGCTGGTTCTTGTTTCACTTTTAAAACATTGAAAGGTGGATTCATATTGTCGTCAGAGTTATCTGAGAGTGAATGATGAGACGAAAATGAAATAAAATTAATGGATGTCGATATCCTCAAAGAACCATGAAATGAAAGATGAATTGGTTAAGGATCATAGGTTCGGTCATCATCGGTCACCCACGGCCGAACAATTAACAAATTTATTGATTAGATGTTATGTTGTTGCATGTTAATCAACCATGGGTATCCGATTGTTTGGATCCGTTTGTTCATTAGAGGATAACATTATGAACGAAAAAAGAACCCACCCCCCAAAAAAAAGAAAAGAAAAAAAAAAACAAAAAAAAAAGGCAACAACAACATTAAACAACAACAAGAACAGCAAAAATATATTATCATATTTACATCTATTAATGTTTTTATTTGAAATAACTAAGGGTATTTTTTGTTTGTTTCATTTTACACCACCTTATAGACGGTATTTGGTTGTACCGAAATCACTAAAATCCACGTAACATTGTTAAAATAGCCATCCACCCTTTAAATGATTTCGATTTATTTTCTTCTATGAAGTGCTATGCTTTACCTGATGACAGCGAGATGTCAAGTTCACTAGTCTCTTTTTTGACCCGATCAACAACCTTAGTATCTGCTGGTAAACTAATGCTAAAAAGAAAGAATGATGGGTATAATTAAATAGTGAATATTGAAAATATCAGAATACCAATGAAAATGAAAAATAATAAGTTAGGAAAGCTAATTACCGTATTACTTAATGTAACAGTAATAATTCAACAATAATATTATATATTAACATTAACCATCAAAAGGCAGTTTAAGTTATATTTAGTCTTTACATACTTGGAAGACTCTAACGTTTTGAAATTTAAATATACCCACAGTAACCCCTGATAAACCCATGTCAATTTACAAAAAAGAAGTATTTTAAACTATACTCGTTTTAACCTTTCAGTATTGTCCGGTTCAAATACGCTTTTTTGTCTGTTTTGCTTCAGTATCATCCGGAGTTCTCTAAGGACGTCCTTTTCTTTCCTGGCTATATCTATACCGTGGTTTTTAAGAATATCTACATTGTCTTGGTCAAGAATCTTATGACTTCTTCGACAGTTTTTGAATTTGCAAGTTTCATTAACGTAATGTTTACATACATGTAAAAATGGACAGGCTGTTTTCTGTCCCTTATGTTTACATTTGTCATTTCCGACATTATAAAATTTACATATTTCTGGTACAATACGATTAATGCCTCGTGTAAAAACATAATTTAGTCCAGGCATCGAAATGTTACTTAAATAGTTTTCTTCTAGAACTTTTCTGTTATGAATTGTGTTCAAGTCATGACCAAAAGAACACTTATTTCCAAAGCTACAGCTACCAGATAAAACCATGCGTTTGCAAATATGCAGACTTGAGCAACCATAGGTACCTAAGCATTTTTGTTTCGAGCAGTGCTGCTTGCAGATCTCAACTTTTATTTTGAGATCCACAAACGGTTGCTTGTAGAGAGAAAATTTATCTTTATTATTGCTAAACATTGCTATAATGGTTTCCTTGTCGTCGTCGATATTTTCAATAACTTCGCCAAGCGACAAAGGTCTCTTTTTGTTGACTATTAATTTAATCAACTTCTTGACAGTGTCACTGTCATCTCCCTTTCCCTCTTTAAAAGGGGGTTCTAAATCTTGGTTGTCTTCCCCTTCCATGAATCCTGTTTATAAAGAAAAATAGAATAAAACAGAATAAAAATTGAAACAAAGAACACAATCGAATAAATATTTTGCGTGTTTTCTTTGGTTTTCAAAATATCTCGCTGGTTAATAACTCAATAAGAAAAACATTTTTCAAGCATTTGTACATACGTCCATATGTAACTGGCATCGACAAACGAACACTATTTTTTGTGTATCTACCCCTCTTCAGACGGTAGCTCTTTGTTTGCTTTTTTTTTCATCTTTAATGATCATTATTAATTTTCCGCTTACAAATACCTAAACAAATATTGTACTGTGTGTAAAATAAAACCATGTCATGTGTTTTAATTAACAAATATTCAGCACTATTATGTATACTCATATGTTATATTATGTAACTTGAGTAAAAATAGATATGTTCTGTTCAGTTCTGTTTAATAATTTGAAATTTAAGATTTGATATTATCATTTATCCTTCTATTATGAAACCATTTCACAAACTAATCGAAGAAACGATTAAAATATCGATCAAACGAACGAACAAAAAACCCTAATCAATTAATATCCTCTATACAAAATGAAATGAGATAAATACAATTTGACCTATAATAAAAAAATAGTATAAGGCACCTTCTTATTGATTATTGAACTCTTAATGTTTTAATCCTTTTCTTTTCATCGTAGATTTATTTCAAGTAAATATGAAATGAATAAAATTTACAAATATAATGGTTACACTGTAATACATAAAGTCATACCTTACAAATATTACGATTTATCGATCAACAGTAATACGTTAAATCAATATACATATACTAATGGTTATGCAGTAATACATGAATCAATGTCTTACATATATAATGGGTATACAGTAATACATAAATAAATAGCTTACAAATATCAATGGCTATACAGTTACACATAAATAAATACCTTACAAATATCTATGGCTATACAGTAATAAATAAATCAATATCTTACAAATATTACTTGCTTTACATAAAGCAATTTCTTACAAATATTAATTGTTATACAGTAAAACATAAAATCAATATCTTACAAATATTAATGGCTTTACATAAATACATAAATCAATATCTTACATATAATGGCTATACAGTATTACTTAAATAAATACCTTACAAAAATTAATGGCTATACAGTAATAAATAAATAAATATGTTACAAATATAATGGGTATAGAGTTAACAGTAAAACATAAATTAATATCTTACATATATAATGGGTATACAGTTATACATAAATCAATAACTTACATACATAATGGGTATACAGTATACATAAATCAATTTGTTACATATATAATGATTATACATTAATACATAAATCAATATCTTACAAATATTAATCGCTATACAGTAATAAATTAATCAGTATGTTACAAATATAATTGGTATTGTCTACAGTAAAACCAGGCTGGTAAAACATAAATCAATATGTTACATATATAATGGTTATACATTAATACATAAATCAATATTTTACATATATAATGGGTATACATAAATACATAAATCAATATATTACATATATAATGGGTATACATTAATACATAAATCAATATCTTACATATATAATGGGTATACATTAATACATAAATCAATATGTTACATATATAATGGGTATACATTAATACATAAATCAATATGTTACATATATAATGGTTATACATTAATACATAAATCAATATGTTACATATATAATGGTTATACATTAATACATAAATCAATATGTTACATATATAATGGTTATATATTAATACATAAATCAATATGTTACATATATAATGGTTATATATTAATACATAAATCAATATGTTACATATATAATAGGTATACATCAATACATAAATTAATATCTTACAAATATAATGGCTATACATTAATACATAACTCAATATCTTACATATATAATGGGTATATTTCAATACATAAATAAATATCTTACATATATAATGGGTATACATTAATACATAAATCAATATCTTACATATATAATGGGTATACATTAATACATAAATCAATATGTTACATATATAATGGGTATACATCAATACATAAATCAATATGTTACATATATAATGGGTATACATTAATACATAACTCAATATCTTACATATATAATGGGTATATTTCAATACATAAATCAATATGTTACATATATAATGGGTATACATTAATACATAAATCAATATCTTACATATATAATGGGTAAACATTAATACATAAATCAATATGTTACATATATAATGGGTATACATCAATACATAAATCAATATGTTACATATATAATGGGTATACATTAATACATAAATCAATATTTTACATATATAATGGGTATACATTAATACATAAATCAATATGTTACATATATAATGGGTATACATTAATACATAAATCAATATGTTACATATATAATGGGTATACATTAATACATAAATCAATATGTTACATATATAATGGGTATACATTAATACATTAATCAATATGTTACATATATAATGGGTATACATTAATACATAAATCAATATCTTACATATATAATGGGTATATTTCAATACATAAATCAATATGTTACATATATAATGAGTATACATTAATACATAAATCAATATGTTACATATATAATGGGTATACATTAATACATAAATCAATATCTTACAAATATTAATGGCTATACAGTACAGTAATACATAAAATCAATATCTTACACGCATTCATAGTTATAAAGTAATGTTTTCATACACGATAGTAAAATATTTTAAACCGATTCTTGATTGCATGACGTAATCTTATTGTATATAAACAAAGAAATAGGTCATATCAAGTTTGTGTACATATAAATCTACACTTTAAATCTACAGAAGCGCCTTATTACACTTTAAATAAACAAAAGTATCACACAAACACATAAATATACAGTAGGCTGAAAATAATGCAATAATAGGGCTACATAGATCTAAATAGATCTCTATATTATATATATCGATTAATCAATATCAATTGCTTTCAGTAAATTCCACTTTCGTTTTCAATATAAAACGGAGAAAGTGTACAAATACACTCTAAGTTACATCGTATTTCAACTTGTTTATGATGTGTAAAAAAATATGTCATAAGTCGTTCATAATAGACCCCCAGAAACATAATCTCAAAACTTAAGTTAGTGATGTCGGACATTTTTCAAAACTTCATAAAACCATAGAGTGTTATACATCAAATTAAAGGTCTTTAAAAATGCAACAAAACTGTGCTTATTTCAATGAGATATCTTTTATAGTTACGGAGAAAATTGATTTTGAAATTTTTGAAAAAATGAAAAAACCTGAAAATTTCTGCCGAATTTCTGTAATAATGTTTAAACCTTATAATCTTTCATTCAAAACTCAAATTTTCCATTTTCAACACTTACACTTCATTTTTAATTTCCAATTTCACATGCACATTCAATATTGACATTTAACACTTTGCTGTCCAGATGATAGGACTTTTTGTCAGCCCAAATATATTACCCCAAGCGTGATCAAACAGATCGTCAGATATGTATTTGGGAGTTACATATACATGTAGCAGACTGTTTCTACTGAATAAGTAAAACCAATATCCTACTGTAACTTTTCTTCTGTATGTATTCTCACATGGAAATTTAAATCACTTTCAGCCATATATGAGTAAACACAGTTAGAATTCACATATAAATCTCTTTCCAATTTTCTCAGTTCTTTACATGTGATAGTCGAATTTACAATTTTTGTCTTCAAACTTCAGGCTTTATTTTAAGTCTGTTGCTAGAGAATATTCACATTTGCATGGTTTCCTTCCAGTATGTTTCTCATAAGTCTTCCCCTACACCCCAGAAAACTTTCAAAAGCCTATTAATTAATTGTCTTCTGTTTTCATTGAACACCGCACCGCCTTTCCTTGATGATTTTGTTTTTCATATTTTACAAACACTTAATGTATTTGTAATTAACACTTCAATACAAATACCATAGGAAACCAAGCTGCAAAAGATGGAACAAAGTATAAAAATAATTATTTTTTTACTAAAATTTAAGAAAAAGAGCAAAATTGATGCACTTAAAATAACTAGAAAAAAAAACAAATAATGAATGAAAGACCTAAGAATCGCATTATTGTTGAGTTATTCATATTCTAAAGCTGTTACAAAAAGTAAGAAAGCTGCATCACTCAAAACATTGAAGCAATGATTTTGTCTTTGAAAATGTGAATGACATGGCATATTATTTTTTTAACTACTTACCAAATATCTAAACCAGTATTTGAAGATCAGCATTTTCCTCATCTGAATCTAGTCGATGGTAAGTGTATACAGCTGGGTCATCATCATAAATAATATTGAACCAGGCAGGAAAAGAAGGAACCTGTATCAAAATAGGATATAAATATTCAATCGGACATCTAAATGCAAGAAATTTTGTTGAACAAAATGGCTCAGGATAAAGACACATTTTCTGTCAATCAAATTAGTCATAGAATAATAATAAAATATGAATGACATTTAACATTACTGAAATGAGTTAGATTGCATTATTATGTACCACTACTATATGAAAGATCATAAATGAGTAGTATAAAAAATATAAACACTTACAATATACAATTACTGTTAAAGTATCAAATGTTAGTATGCTGTGTTAGAAACTTTAGAAAAGAAGTAACAAGTTTAGATGAAGCAAGCAATGTAATAAGCAACGTAACAAGCAATAAAAAGTAGCAAGCAATAAATTGACCTGCGATATAACTTTCCCATGATACCACTGGCTCTGTCCATCTTTCTGAAATCGGTGTCTAACCCTCTTTCCAACTAATATATGCTGCACTGAATTTGAGTCTCCAACTATCGCTTGCGATACAAGTTCCTTTAAATTCTTGGTAAGTTCTTCTTGAGAGAAATCCTGACGATTCTTTGAAAAGTTGAAAAGTGTCTTATCACTGGGAATTTGGTTAAGGACATTTTTCCTGAACCTTAATTGCGCTTTTAAGGCATTCATTTTGGCTGTTTCACTGTTGTAAGAAAGCAACATATTGTCTACCTCACTTTCAGTTTGCCACAATCCGTGATTTATAATTTGTTTGGTAAACTCCTCCTGTTGTTTAATTTTTTCTTGTCTGGCAACTTCGTTCTTTTGAATTTTCTCCTGAATTGCAAGCCTCCTTCTCTCTTGTATTTCACTTAATCTAATTTTATAAGTATTTCTCTTTTTTTTCACAGATTTTGATGCCTTTTTTATAAGTTCTTGTTTTTCTTTTTCATTTTTGGAATTTAACCAGTCTGTAGTGTTATTATTCAAAAACATTATTGAAGCTTCAGCTGCTAATGTGCTTATGTTTGGTTTCGTTCTCAACAGGTGGTCCAATTGGCCAAATACACTCTCAGCAAAACAAGATGTCTTGGGGGCATTTTTAAGTTTTTCCTTCATTTCATTGGATATCGCAGTCAGTTTACCTCCTGGAAGATGATCAGCAAACAACTTTCTACTAAGAGTACACAGGGTTGGTAGAAGTGTTTGAAGGAAAACCTCAACCATTGCGTCATGTTCATTGGCAGTGACAAGAGATGTGTAAATAACATCTTTATCAATGGCAGTGCATTCACCAAAGATCAGCAGTTCACCTTTCATGAATGCTTGAATGTTTTTTGAACAGTCTTCTAAAAATGTAACAACTTCCAGATATTTTAAATTCATATCTGTTATTGACACTTGTTTGTCTTCTAATAGGCACCAAAGAGGACAAGTTACCAGTTTGCTTATTAAGCCAAGAGCTTTCAGCCCAGCAACAAGCTCTGGGGTTTTAAGGCCTTGCAACACAGATTGCAATAGCTTGTTACCTGCACCAAATTTTTCCAAATAATCAATCATTATTGAATGCATAAAATACACAGCTGCAGCATTGGAAAATAATATGTTGAACCTAGTACCCCTGTATGAGCGTAATGGTACAGAACGCAATTGATGTTCAACTAAGAAATCTCTGGCAAAACTCTTAAAATTACCCTGACAGCCACTTTTCTGATCCCCTCCAGATCCAACTCCAAAGGCCTTAGATGCTTCTCTAACCAATCGTATTACACCTGGGTCTGAATCATATTCATGCTTACTTAAAACATTGGCGTTACCATCAAACATACTTCTTTCAATTTCTTTTATGCACAATCTAGATGCCTCGGCAAAATTTACAAGGGCATGTAACCCACAGAAAAAATTACAATGTTTCTAGGCAACTTTTCTGCTTCATAAATAATTTTAATTAAAATAATCAGGGGTAAAACATTTTCCCCAAATTGGTACAAAAGTTTTTAAATTTTTAAATTTAGTGCAGCCCGTCGGGCCTAGTGGCAAAAATTTTGGGGACAATGTTCTTTGTTTTTATTCCCCTTTTTGACAGCTTTTTCATTTAGGTTTCAAAAACTGTTTTTAAAACTTTTTTAAAGTATCTAAGCGATTTTGTCTCAATATTTGACCCCAATACCATAAAGCTCCTTTTGAACACTGGCTTCATACCCCCTATATTATCCCATACTTTGATGTTCCCTCTGTCATGAGTACAGTACTTTTATCAATGGCAAAAACCTCATTTATGTGTGCTTGGGCAATGTAAAGTCTGTGAAGACTCATATCAAGAACTGTTGAACGACAAGGTAGTTTGTTGACTGTCAAGTCAAGTAGCTTTAAGACACTTTCAATTTCAGCCGATACCTCGGATGCATTAACTTGGAGATTAAGTATTTCATACACACAACTTTTTAATTTTGCTGTATAGGTCTTACTTTTGTCATCAAATACAAAAACCTTATCATTACTATTGTCATTAATTGTGTCCTCCAAATAAGTTATACTGTCTTTTAATTCACTGATTTCTTTTTCATTACAATGTATACAATCTTTTAATTCATTGATTTCTTTATCTTTTTCAAGTAACTTCTTTTCTAATAAACCTATCTTCAATTTATTTTCATCACAACACTCCCCGTTATTAGTTTTTTCCAATATTCTTACTTTATTTGAATTGTATTTTTCTCTAGCAAGAGTTCTTTTCAATTTCTTTTGACAATCAACTATTTTTTCTTCCTTTTTACTCAATTGCTTTTGACAATCAATTATTTGATCTTCTTTTTCATCTAATTTAACCATTATATTAGAAACTTTATGGCATAATTCAACAGACTGCTTTTTCATTTCTCTCATAGAACTATTTAAATCTAATGATTCTGTACATGTAACTTTTGGAGAACATTTGTTGGCACAATGTTGAGGAAAAGAATAATTAGAATTTAGAAATATTTCATATGTTGAGTCATTTGACCTTTCAGACGATCTTTTGATATATTTCATATCCTTTGTTAATTTTTTAATTGATAACTCATAGGACCTCAGACTTGGTTTCAGTTCATTAGGATTTTTCTCAGACAGAAATTGCACACATTTTTTCTCACCCATCTCTCTCAAAAATGTCAAAATTTCACCATTGGTTACTGCCATTTTAGAATTTTTTGATGTTTTAAGTTTTAAATAACTGTATTTGATATTCTAATATATCATTTATTTACCAAACTCATATTTTCAATTATACAGATATATGTACTGATTCAATGACTACCAATGAAAATTGTTTGGCAATAAGAGTCAGATAAATATTCATTTTCTACATTTTCATCATCTTCATCATATTGTGTATGTTCACAATCTAACTGATGTTTCTTAAAAGCCACCATTGTTTGTGACAAAATATTGTCAGTAAAAACATTTGTAAAATGATAAAAATCTATAGTTTGTGAGCTTGTGTCACAACAAACATTCCCACTTTCAACAGTTTGTGTTTCTCTGTCTACATAAATAGTATTGTCATCAAATGCTAGAGTATTTTCAACAAAAAAGGTTGTCCTGTGGCACAAATTTGATTTACAAAAATTCTTATTGAACACTTTTAAATTTTCACATTCAACTAGTGTAAGCTTGGTCTGTGTTGAGTTCTCGACAACCTGTAAGAAATGACTACCTTAAGAAGAAAGCAAAAAATAAAAGCAAAGCCAAAAAAGCAAAAGCAGTTAATTGTCAAGGGAAACCATAAGCAAAGCCAAATAAGCAAAGGCAGTTAATTGAGAAGCAAATATATAAGCAAAGCCACCAAAGCAAAAGCAGTTACTTGTTATAAGCATAATGTTATATTCAAACATGGATAAGCAGTTATAAAGTTAGTAAGGCATGAACTACATAACTAGAGGAAGGGTTAATAAGCAAATGAAGTGATTAAATGCCAAACACTACACATACAATTCTAAAATACATGAATGTGATATCAATGCCTCTTCCTATCATTTAGGGTATTTCATTTTAGTGTTTACATTTTCCTGATTATCTATTTAATATCTTGATTATTTTAGGCTTTTCATAATTCTCTTGAAAGTTTAACTATCTCTTCTGTAACAGTATTCCAGTATTTTTTATAGTATTATATACTTAATGTTATTGATGAAACTTAAGTGTTATTTTTAGATGTAAGAGAAAATTAACATTTGATACACATTCATGCATTTTCTTGGTTAGTTAAATAGTAATTACATGCATTAAATGTCCATTACCTGGTCTGTAAGTATGTCGTCTTCCAAATCTGTAAGTATGTCGTCTTCCAAATGCTCTGATGAACCTGACAATGCCTGAGAAGAGTTTTTTAAAATACATAAAATAATAATTTCTCAGCAGATATACTTCTGTCTACATGTACAATAATTGTGAAATAAGTATCAGATCAAATATGAAAAATCAGTCCACAATCAATTCATGCAAACTATTTCTTAAAAGTAAAGGTACTTAATAGATAATATGGGTAAGACAAGGCCTAATCTGTCTATAGACAGTAAGACTACATGTGTATATCGAACAGGAAATTAAATAAAATTAAATAAAAACAAGTACAACATTGACGTTCATAGGCTTTGCATACTTTTAAATTAACATTCATGAAGTGCGTAAAAAAGTAAATAATAAAAATAATTCATTAAGTTACCGGGTCTTTAAAGTCTGGAAAGGAGTTCTTCTCAGTCAAATAACGTCTTCTTTTAAACACTGGGCTTGGCTGTAAAAAAATGTGCTAGTTTCTTTAATAAGTTCATAACATATTAATAATGTAATTCCACCAACAAATAGTTAATTTTAAATTGCACTATTGAAAAGCCATATATGCCATAATTCTCTTTCATCAATACTATGATAACCTTGTGTATCATCTGTTAAGACCATTTTAGAGTGGAATCATTTGTACCAAAGCTACTATCCAATGGCAATGTCCTTATGTTTACTTTACAGGAAGATAATAAATAAATTGAACATTCAATCAATATACTAATTTAATACATAGTTACCGTAAAAGAAGACTCAGAACTAGAACTAGAAAAAAGATCTGCTTCAGCGTCAAATTGCTCACTGTTACTGGGAGACGAGTCATGGGTGTCTTGAAACATACCAATCTCTAAAAAAATGTTTAAAATATTAAACTTTCTTAAGAAATATATAAATAAATATCAAAAATATAAGTAATAAAAACATTTACAGCAATAAAACACGTTAAAGTTGTAACTATAAAGGTGATACAGCTCTATATGTATAAATTACATGTTTGTTTACATCGCGAAATTATGTGTCAGATCATCATTGTTGTTGTTGTTCGGGAAGAAATTGCACTTCCGTTTCACGGTGGGTGACTTTAAAAACATTGCGCCGGAAGGCGCCTTAAGGAAATTAAAGTTTAAAATCATAATTAAATAATAAACAGGCAGGTAAAGCTCCTATTTCTTTCTTAATATTTCGAATTAATAATAAGTCATATTGTGGGCCGGTCGAAACTTACCAATTTTCAAGCCAGAATTTTGGTGCAAAATATGCTTTGGCGCCTCAAAAACACGACCTAAACCAATCAGAATGTCTTTCTTCTCTCTTTTGATGTATAAACCATTACGATTGGTCAACCGAAAGTCTCGTGAGATCCATTCTAACAACCCACCTGTCACGAGATATTGAAAATGGCCGCGCCCATGAAAACTTGAAAACCCGGAAGTGACCCATTTTAACGATCGATTTCTCATCGATTTCGAAAATAATGCACGATCAAATTGTTCAAACATGTAAATCAAATAGTATTCTATTGAATTATGATATTGAAACGAACTGGGTAGGCCATATTAAATATGAAATCCAGCATTTTCATGGTGTTATATTCAATTACGTCAGAAGGGGGAAACAAAATGGCGGAAAAGTCCGACATCGCTACTTAAGTATCACACATTTGTAAACAGTGATTTCCTTTTTATATAAAAATACAAAGCGCTTTGTTCATAGGTAAACGAATGACGAAGGCTTAAACTTTGAAAGCATGAAAGTCTACAAAAGCTAACAAAAGAAATTATATAAAAAATTAAAGTAATAGATCTAGATCTACAAAAATGCTTACTCAGTATTTGTAGTAACCGCCACGGAAGTGGAATTCCAGATTGAAATAGCGCATGCGTCACCCGCTCCGATAAGGAAACCGTATTTATTGCAAAACGCGCGCGAAGATAAACACGGGAGGAGGAACTGTTACACGAGGTATGTAGTTCTAAATGATAACTTGTCAGGAGTTCTTGTGATAACTGTCACGAAGTTCGTCGGAAAACATTTGTATATACTACAAAAACACTCGTCAAAATGGTAATATTCATCTTTAAAAGGTGAGTTTTAGGTGCTAAATTAAACTTTAATTATTAAGCTTGTCTTTGACATGTTATCATAAGAACTCCATCCCTTGTGTAACAGTTCCTCTCCCGTGGATAAGCTGAGTAAGGTATGACGGAGATGAAAGCATGCATCAGTGAAGCAAGCGCCGTTGTTGCGCGCTTTTTTTTTATATACCTGACTCAGGGCACCATGTAAAATAACTGTCTGCAATCACGGCTGCCAATAGCATTCCATACGGAAAAAAAATAAAATAAAAAAAAATAACAAAAATATTTATTAATATGCAAGAATAGCTAATATATCGTTTTTCGTGCATAGACATCTGCAGAATCTCTAAGACTTTATTTAATCCATCGCTCTGTGACCTTGGGCTTGAATGCTATGGAGGGCGTTCGTTGCCGAAATTCCAGACATGTAAAGTTTTCCTTTTGAAAACTTCTTTTGAATATGCGAACGTGTATGTCTAGCATTTTTTATTGTATTCGTGCACAACAAATATTTGAAGGCACCCGCTATTAAATAACAGGTTTACAACTGACTTAACATGGAAGACAACAAATTTACCAGCTCGTAACAATACATATGCAAGCTTGCACACTTATAGATATCTATCTGTACGTGTGATAAACAAATGAAATGTAAAACTCGACTTTTAGAAAACGTGTTTCAAGTTGTAGAACTACAAGAGTACGTTTACACTGTAACATGCTTTAAATACAAAGTAAAACGATTTTAAGTCTTTGAGTGTTACTGAAATCTAAGGCCAATTATCAAACTCGGTGCCTATCCGCCTTTTAGGAAAACACGCCATCCCTTCTTACTTTTTTATTTTTTAAACAATTTAAATAATATTAGTATCAAACGAAAGATTACTTCATAAGCTTTCGATGAATGCCTCAGAAATAAAAATGAATTAAATAGATGTACTAAAATTTTTGTGTCAAAGTTTACTTTTTTATACCCTCTGAAACTCACACAAGAAAAACACAGGGTCACATCAAAACTTTTTTTTAAATAAATTCCTTAATTAATTTTAATAATTTTGGATTGAATTAAAAGAGTGCTTCATAAGTTTTATAGTCTTTGATAATATAATGCCTCAAAAATAAAAATGAGTTAAGGAGAAGTATTAAAATTTTCGTTTCAAAGTTTATCATGTTATTTTCTGAAAACCACACTCTGAAATTCAGTAAGAAAAACACGGCATCCCTACTTACTTTTTATTTCTTGATCAATTTTAATAATTTTGGTGTCAAATGAAAGAATTTTTCATGAACTTTCTAGTGATACTTTAAAATAAAAATTAATTTCGTAGAACCATTAAAATATTTGTTTCAAACTTATCGTTGTTTATTTTTTCTCTCCCTTAAAACCACACTCATATATTCGGCAAGAAAATCACGGCTACTTTATAAAGTAACCAAGTTTCAAAATAAAAAAAAATGAATATAGAATAAAAGGTAAGACCATAAGCTTCAAGTATATTAAACAAGTATTTATTTAGATGTATACTGAAAATACCTCATTAAAGATTGCACATATTTGTTACGGACAAGTACTTTTTTTTATTTTATCGCCGATGTTTCTCAGGAAAACACGAGGTTACATAATAAATAAGTGCATAAGTTATATTAATCATTTTATAAAAGTCAAAGATTGCACGGGCAACTTCATTGTGCATTGTCATTGCGCCAATTACGAAAAAATTTATAAAACTAGCCCTGCATATATATCTATGCAAAGGCCCTGTCACAATAGACTGCGATGTTACTGCGTTTGCACGGCGGCGAGATCGCAAGAAAAATCTGATATTTTTTATGCATTTCTGCAATTTCAGATAAACGCAGTAGAATCGCATTAAGAGCGCAATTGTCGCCGTGACAGTGCCGTCAAGTCGTAGTAAGAGCGTTTGAGATAAATAAAGCTCCGTACAAGCATCGTACACACGCAGTATAGGCGCGGTAGAGACGCCGCACAATCTCCCAACAGCGCCATGGCTAACCACGGCGCTCCTGTTGCGTTGTAGGGGATTCTACTGAGTTGCTACGGCGTTCTTACTGCGATCCAACTGCGCTCACATCAGAAAGCCTAATGACGGCGTTAGTTTTGAGCATGCTCAAAATGCGCGCCGTCGGTCGGCTAACTATGCGATGCCACTGCGATGCTGCGGCGATGCTCATGCGATGTTTGCGATCTTACTGTGCTCTGAATTTTCTTTGGACGCCATTGGATAGCCGCCCTAGTGTGCCAGGGGTTTAACATAGTATGTTCTATCACCCATACAAATCTATGAACTGACTTTTACATAGTAAACGATTTCGTTCTATGAAATTTAACACTCTCAAAATACAAAACACATGGCGTTCATTTGCTGGCAAATACAGCTGCTAACTAGCATTGTATAAAATGAATCAATTTATGGCAAAAACTATTCCTTTGAAATTATTAAAAAATTATCAAATTTATATGGCTAGCGAATGGCTGAAAAAAGTGCAGGGAAAAAAGATTCAGTGGGACATGCAGAAGGTGATTTGATGAAAATGAGATGTTTTAAAGTATAAAAACTAGTAAAGAAACTAACACTATGTTGTTTTCTTAAGAAAAATGAAATATTTTATAAGTCTATAGGATAATTGCGACTTTGATACAATGAAAGTGATGTGTGTGTGTGTGTGTGTGTGTGTGTGCGGGGGGTGGGGGGGGGGGGAACACTCTTTGAAGCATTTTGCAAAAATATGGTTGGCTACACCTTTATACCAAGATCATTTTTTTATGTGTCAGGTATTTCATTCTCCTAGAAAAAGCACCTTTTTAGCACGAAAACCCAATTTTTAGGTAGGATTAGCGACCTTTCCTCATAATGAAAGTCTATGCAACAGTCTGACCTAGGGAGCTTACTCGGTTACTGCAATCGTCAAGGGAGATTAATCAGTACAAAACTCTACCGTCCAAAGCGTTTAAATCTGTTCAGTGTTGTCTGCCCTGCCTTGACATAAGATCACTGATAGAAAAATCGTTAGATATCGGATAAAGTTAAATACCAAAATCATTAAATTACCGTTACTTTTAAACATTTTGTGATAGAAAGGGTTAACATATAAACATTCTGGTGAGTAGATAATATTTGTGTGTTGAATTTGAGGGTTTTTTTTTATTCACTTTAGTGAATGTACTTTTTGTAAATAGAGCAAGTTTATATAAGAACTTTTGTTGACTGTGAGTGGTAACGGTTGACATGTACTTAGAAAATATAAATACAGGTTAAATATCTTAAGGATTATTAGTTGAAACCAGTAACGATCAATAGTGTACGAATTTTAACACGGGATTTTTGGGGGTACTCTGCAGATATTTTTGTTAATATTTACACAAGAATCAAAACTTTCTTAATCAATTCAATTCAATATTATATTTGGCATTAAACTACATATAAATTAGTATATTATTTATAGCCATACTTACATAATATAGGTAAAGTGTAAAACATTTTTACAATAAATTGTTCATAATACAGTACAAAATGTTTTCAAAGAAGTTATTAACAATATATCTTCATGTAGATCTAGCAATAAACAATAAGACATTTAGTTATTGCAAATAACAATCATACAAAATGTTTTCAACTTAATTTGCTGTAGTTTGTTTAATTTGTCTATAAGCCATGTGTCCGCAACGGTTTCGTACACGTGTGTACGATAGCAGCGGAAGTGGTATAGATCGTAGAGAAGATTCAAACTTTCAATAGTCATGTTTAATGAATGAATATGCAATTAGTTTAATTTGTCATTGGTGAAAATGTTGAAATCGATTAGAAATTAAACAGATCTACCCTATCATTTTGAATTGTAAGAAACGTTTAGCAAGTATTTGTGATATGTTACCAAATCTATTGTCACGTTAAATATTCTTGAAAGTTTCAATATATAAATATTAATATTGTATCCATTTACTTACAATGTTAATTAATACATACAATTGTCTAAAAAGAAAAAAAAAGAATGACAAGCAATTTCTGTGTAATAAGTGAGATACAATCTACAGCTTGTTTAAAACACATTATTTAAACAAGAGAAAAACTAGTCTTAAATATTCTTACAAATAAGTAAGAACCTTTAAAATATGAAGATTACGTTATCATTTTCAAATCAGTCCAAAGATTTATTAAGACGACCCATCGCTTTGATCATAATTGATTTTTCATACTGTTCTTGTTTTCATTTATCTAGGTTTATTTTCTATAATATATTATACTTAATTGTCAAACATTCACAAACCCACATTCCCTAAAATCCAAAACTACAATTATGCTAATTAAATAATCACTGCTAAATTGAGACCAGGATGGCGACCTCTAGATGAAACACATTAAAATAAAAATTGTACATTAAATGAATACGTAAATGAATTGTTAAAATCAATTACATATTTTTAGTTTATGTACATGTTTAAAGTAATCAATGTTGCCCTAAATGTATTTTTTTCTATAATATTTATTTCTTGAAAGGATTTAATCTATTGTTCCAACAGAACTTGTTGCCCATCTCATTTGCTTTTATACTATTTTACATGTATTTATTGCATTATAATAAGCTTAAACTAAGTAGGAACCCAGAGGTGTGCTGTGTGACGCCGTATATAGCTGCGAACGTATATATCTCTCCGAAGAGCTTTATACCTTACTGCAACTTTTACGATAATGTCTCCTTACAAATTAATCATCATTATCATCATAATCATCATCATCATCATCACCACCACCACCACCACCACCACCACCACCATCTTCATTATCACCACCACCATCACCATCACCATCGTTATCATCATCGTTATCATCATCATCATCATCATCATCATCATCATCATCACCACCATCCCCACCAACACCATCATCATTATTATCATCATCATCATCATCAACATCATCATCATCATCATCATCCCATCTTCATCATCATCACCACCACCACCACCAAAACCACCACCACCATCATCATTATCATTATCCTCATCGGTACCATCATGATCAATACCACCATCATTCATGTTGTTGACGAACAAAATGAAAGTAGCGCAACGGATAAAACTGGTCTGTCCAGAGGTATATGCGGCGTAACAGTACTAGAATACATTCTATAATTTATCGAATGTTTCTTTGATTAACCAGTTGATTTAACAAATTAGTCAACCAATTGAAAATCAGGCACTTTTTCATATCCATCATTAGCATTTTTTGTCATTAACTATCATTAACCCATAGCCTCATAACTTGCTGGAACAAAAAGTGATTAGCATTTGCCAACAGCTAGGCCTACCTCCTCCATACTGTTTGAAGCTCATTTTGTTATTAAAATACTTGAAGGAGAGCATCGGATTTTTAATGCGGGACCCTCTGGTTCGTTTCTCAGGCGTGGCGAAATTTCTCCGTGACAATAATTATTTTCCTCATACATTAAGTCCAATGGATTTTGTCTATCAACGCCGATTCAGAAATCACGTGGGATAAGAAGTCGGTCTTTTGCGTAACAACTCGTAAGTTATCCGGGAAAGCCGGTTAGGTAAAACGTCCGCTGCGGATATGACAAAAAATGTGCTAAGACAAGTGCATACTTTAATATTCAAACGGACCATTCCTTTATTTAAGCAGGACAAATCTATCATACATGTGCAGCAGGTTATTGACTCAAGCATAATTGCTTTCTTTTTCTTGTTTATTTGTAGGATAACGTTTGATGTTTCTCGGAGTTTTGGGTCAAGATTGGTTAATTGCTAGCATCATCATGCGATAGACACAATACGAAATATGCCGGTGCAAGGCAAAAAATCAGGAATATCTGGAGGTATGTCTAACCTAATAGGAAAATCACCTTTGACCTTTGACTTTTTGGTTAAAAAAATAAGGAGAAGACAGACGGGCGTAAATGGCGTTCGTTTCTTACAATTTTCCAGCTTTATAATACATAGATGATATTCAAGATTTTTCTATAAATACAGAATTTGTTTTCATCTTGTGATATGAAAATTATCATATTTCACTTGTGGTGGTTCTCTTTTTTGACCTTATTATTCTTAAATCTTCTCCTTTAATTTTGTGTATTGGCTGATTTAAGAGGAAAGTAGTCCAACAATACACCAGTGATAAATACGGAAAATATGTTTCACTGCAGTGAACAATAATATTTTTAAAAGTGAAAATACGGAAAATGAAAATACGCATTTTATTTCATCAATACTTCTCAATATTTCATTTAAAAGTATATAATATAAAGCACGTTAGTAACCTCGAATTAAATGGATAGTCGAAACGGTTATTTTAAATATATGCATGGCTTTATTATGAATTGATCTTGAATTTTACACCAAAGAAAAGAATTACCAAGGATTAACACTTTCTTACAGGTTATATGATTTATTAATGTTTGTAATAAGCCATATTATCTATCATTTACCTCAATTTTTTTACGAATCGGAAGTGCAAATGACACACTCTTATTGAAGATTGTCAGATTTGATTAATTGCCAGATTCGAATTTGAAGATTGTCAGACTAAAAAAAATGTATTATAGAATTGATGAAATTTTTGAATCAAATATAATTGAAATACAATTTATTTTTCAACGAATGTCAAATAAATGCATGTTTAGGGCTACTTTACATGCAAAGATTACACAATGGTCTTTTGTTTACATCAACAGTCTGACGGTAGAGCTACTAATTAATTCGTATTGTTTCCGAGATGATCATAAGTAAACAGCGATGTGGTCAGAAAATGTAACAAATGTGGAACATTTAACCAACATATTGTATTCTAAAGCTTAATTTGTAATGATAAATGATTATATAACATTTTATTTAAAAGGTGGGCACCCAAGAAAACTTTTTACTAGGCAATCGTCCATTGTAGACAGTCGGCAAGTTCCAGCTGTAAGTAGATCTAATCATTGTATTTTATTTGTGCTCAAAATTCATTTTCCTCATTTTATTTTAGTCAATTTCTGCTCCGTTTCGTCATAAAATGACGTCATGATAAATTTTACATCCTGGCCCCGTGTTCACAAAGATTTAAGGATTAGGATCAAGATCAGGATCAAATTTAAAAACTCAAATATTCTCCATTATTTATCCTCATGGATTAAATATCCATTATTAACTTGGTAAAACTGGACATGAAATAGCATGTTTATGAAATTTTATAATAAATTTATTGTTATTTTTATAAGATATTGGCATTTTACAGTTAATCCAAATTTTGATCTTGATCCTAAAATTGATTCTCATTTTGATCTGAATATTTTTGTATTTGTTTTATTATTTGTTGATTTTATCCCAAAAAAGTTTGGTTTCTTTGCAAATAAGTTATTGTTTACATTTCGAATATGTACCATTAATTCTAGCATAATACGATCACTTTTAGTTTTATAAACCAATGTAAATAAAATCAGGATCACTTGATCCTGATCCTTATCTTTTCTTTGTGAACACGGGGCCAGATGCGTAGATATAGAATTAACTGACCAGTCACATCATCCTAATTTCTTCACGAAACGTTATTTAGTGGTATCATAAACAATGCTAAATTTCGTGATACAACGAGGCGGTTAACACTATATAAACTTATTCCATTGTTTTGTTTTTGTATATTTAAGAGTGTTGATGCAAAGAAATCTTCACGAAATAAATCTGGCAAGAAGAATCCAGCTAAAGTTGTGTAAGTTAAATATATTTTATGCGTAGTAAATATCTTTTATTAACCTTCGGTATAAGATGAATGTCAATTGAAATGAATTCTAAAGTTATGATTTGATTCTATAAAAAGCAGACTAAATAAAAACTGTACCAGAAAATGCTAAGCAAGTTTGCACTCGTGATGTCAATGAACTTGTGATGTCGCTAACAAAACAGATTAACGTGCAAGTCTGCTTCATATTTTGGTATGATAAAGGTAACGATATATGTGTAGTGGATAGACTGTATAAATAAATGAATAAGTAAATAAATTATTTAACCGATTAGATTATGATATATCAGATTTTAAGATACTACGTCGTGACCACGAATTGCTAAGTCGTGACAACGAGTTACTTATTATCTCGTTGCCACGACTTAATAACTCGTGGCCACGACATAGTATCTAGTGCGCATGAAATAAATAAAAACACACACACATGTCACCTCTGTGCCACCGTTTATATCACTTTCAATGCATATTGTTTTACATTCAAAGTTAAAGGGATTTCAACATCAAAATACAAAAAAGAGCACCAAAAATATAAATCCTGGTACGTATCTGCCTTGCCAGGCTTAACCTTTTACCCCATGAGTATATTGCGAAAAATGGCCGTTTTCATTGAAAAGCCTCCTGTAACAAGTTCAAACTGCTATGAAACTATGAAAAATGCTTCAATACTAATGAACTTGGCACAAATGTTGACTACACCATAGCCTCTGTTACAGCATGCTCAATGGTAAATTTCCTGTTACCATGACAACGGGGGGACGTCTCAAAATTGCCAAAAATCACTATTTTGCATTGTTTTTTTCCATCAAAACTGATTTCAAAGTGCTGCAACTTCTCAATGAATTGAGACAGAGTAAAAGGCTTTTCAGCGTCGGTTACTAGTTACCCTTAGATCGACCTGAGGCCATTTTTAGCCTTCACATGTCAAAAATTTTCTTGGCGAAAAAGTGGTCACTTTTTTTAACAACATTTCTCAAACGGAAAACAGTGTTTGGGCCTAAATAGGGCATTTTTTCAATGTTTGAGGCCTCAAAAGTGGGGGGGGGGGGGCAAAAAGCCGTCGAAACACGCTTATATAAGGGAAAAGGTTAATATCAATTGGTGGCAAGTTCATCATATAAAGAGTTACACAGTCCTAACACTTTCCTGCGAGAAAAGAATCTTTATACACTTAATATATCAATTACCCATCCAGTAATTAAAAAAAAAACTAAATAAAAAAAAACAACATGAACAAAAGAATACAAAAAAGAACGCGAAAAAATATGAAAACGTATCTAAAGATATACAAGAGTACGTATCCACCATGCAAACAGAGCGAAACAAAAGGACAAATTCAAATGATGTCTTTCAATTTTTGATTAATGACAAAACAAAACATATTATTTTTCAATAAAGCATATACATATTTTTTTTCCAGAGCGAATCGTCCTCAAAAGAAAGATCCGGCCACGACCAAGAAAGGTAAATATTTTTGTGATCCTAGTTGTCACCCTACTTTGAAAAACATACTGAAATCATAATGATTGTTGCACTGTCTAGTAACTGTAATATCAATATAAAAACAATATATATGTGTAAAATATTATGATACTTCTAAACATTTCACGATGAAGACTGTCACAGAACTAGAAATTCGTATTATAAATATTTCAATTTGTCATGTTATGAACTGAGTGACGATACTAGGCTGCTGGAAATCATATATAAATACATTTCAATATTTTTGTATCACAAATAAAACTATTTTTACGTTTGAACTCATATGCCATTTCAGAAAAGCCGACGTATGATGACGCGGCAACGAAGAAGTTCGACAAAATGTTACGCGGTGATTTGACAGATTTGCCGCCCTTTCCAAAATCCACAGTGAAAATCTTTCTCAGCTCCACATTTTCTGGTGAGTCAAAATTCATAGATATTGTAATTATCAGTATCCTTCAAGATATTTTTACAGGTATTTCGTCACGGAAGTCTTAGAAATAAGTTTATTTAAGTATATAGATTACACCGAAAGGGTTACCATTTGAACGAATTTATGTAAAAGAATAAGCATCAAAACACTCGGCAATCGGCTGCGGTTTACTAATTTGTGCCGGCAGAGAAGGGGATATCGATAGAGATATCATATTCAGATACTCGTTCATTGGGTTACTTTTTCTGGGGTTTCATATTGTGACAACAGGGAATGTGTTTTTATTTTTGCCTATGATACAAAGGAGAAAGAACACCAAAACACTCAGTAATATGATTTATACTCCTCGTACAAATCAGATACCCTCGTGTTTCGGTGTTCTTTCTATTACTCATTTAATGAGAAACGCTGTTGTTTCTTCTACGTACACGTGTTTCTCTCAAATGCAATTACACCAATAGAAACAAAATCAAATTTTGTAGTAAAATTATGCGGCTTTTTGTAAATATATGTTGTGTTGAAATTACTTAATGACTGGCAATGGGCTATACGTTAACATGAAGTTTATATGTAATAGAAAGAGCATCGAAACACGAGGCTATCTGATTGTATAAGGGAGCTTCATAGAAAATAAAAATACGTTCCCTATTATCACAATATGAAACCCCAGAAAAAGTAACCAATGATGGAGAATCTGAAAATGACATTTCTATCGTTGCCTCTTTCTCTGCCGATCCAATCAATGTGCATGCTCTGGAGTGCAGGTAACTAATATCTGCACTCCAGTTAACGTACTGTGCATGTATATTTTTACGATTTACTCTGATACATTTTTTAACGGAAAGGCCCCCAAACTATGATACAAGTAACAATTTAGTTAAAGTTTTATTGTGGTATTAAAAACTGGAATTCGTTTCACATATCTTTTAAGTACTTACCCACATTGCATTTATGTTTAAAACATTTGTTTCAGACATGCGAGCAGAGAGGAACACACTTGCTAGAGAGGTTTACCCTCGTCTTCAAACATATTGCCAATCACGCGACCTCGACTTTCAAGTTGTGGATATGAGATGGGGTGTTACAGAAGATAGCATCAATGATCATTCTGTAGAAAACCTGTGTCTTCTTGAAATTGAGAATTGCCAAAAAACATCTTTTGGTCCAAACTTTGTTGTAAGTTTCTTACTAATTCTTTGTTATAAAAATCCATATTTTTATCATTCTTAACAGTCAAACATTGACAATACATTTTAAAGACAGAACTGGTTGGTGACCATCAACCGGGCACATTTTGAACATTTCTTTATACATATTACACAATACCAGAAAATTGGACACAGTACAATATGTTTTTCTCCAAACAAAAGATCTAGTTTGTTTATTTCCAATAAGTTGACATTTGTATTTGAGGCCAGTGCAAGGGGGTTATAAATTTGCCTTGATTGTCCTCATTACAGTATTATGTGTTCAGGAAGGTATGTGTGTAAGTAAAGTGTCAATTTAATTAATATTTATAGATAAAAGATGTTGTTTTTTTTTTGTAAAAAGCGCCGAATTGGTCGACACGCACTTATCAAAGAAAACCACTTGTAAATCAAAAGTTTCGGGGCCGTCCCAGTTTGACTGCCGTTCGGTATTGTTTATCAGCAATCAATACTGTCTAGTTAGCAATACATTAACCCATTACTGCATGAGCATTTTGTGGAAAATGGCTGTTTTCCTACAAGTTCAAATTGCTATGAACCTATAAAATATGCTTTAATATACATCAAACTTAGCACAAATGTTGACTGTAACATCATGCTCAATCTTAAATATTGTTTCACCTTTGCATCGAGGGGACATCTCAAAATGCCAAAATCACTTTTTTGCGTTGATTTGTTTTCCATCCAAACTGATTTCAAAGAGCTGCAACTTCTCAGTGGATTGAGATAGAGTCAAATGCTTTTCAGCGATGGTTACACGTTACCTTCTGACCTGAGGCCAATTCTAGCCTCACACAAGTCCAAAAATCTTCTTGGCGAAGCAGAAAGGGGCACAGCCCCCTCTGGCACCACCTGATGTATCTTTCTGATAGAGGCGGCGCAGAAAAAAGCAATCACTTTTTTAACAAAAATTTCTCAAACGGAAACAAGTGTTGAGGTCTAAATAGGACATTTTTCACTATTTTAGGTCTCAAGGGGGATTGGGGGGGGGGTTGGTTGTCGAAATTGCGTTGTTTCGCGTATATATGAGGTAAAGGGTTAATCTAGTTAGCGATACGTTAAAATTGTTACAAAAATGGAGGCTCAATTAACAATGATTATAATGTGTTTTTCAAATAATTTCTTTGATCGATATCAATAATTAATTTGATATTTTTCTTACTTCAATCAAGTTACTGTCGGGAGACAGATATGGATTTCGGCCTATTCCAGTAAACCTTGATATCAGAACATTTGACATCATAAGATACGAGGCTATCAAACTAAATCTAGACAACAAGATATTGTTAGAAGAATGGTATAGGTTAGATGAGAATGCCGTGCCTGCTACATATATTTTACAGGTAGTGTTAATTAAAGTTTGTATAGGACATAAAAACATGTTCTAATCTTTATGTGCAATGTAAGACGTATGACAAAATGGGTACCTGTTTCTACATGAACAATGCAATGGATGTTATTGTGCCAAAACTGCATACTTAATAATCATCTTTTATGCAAAGTACATAAGTATCTGCCTATTATGTTCTAGCAATGCTATTATTTTTTCTTTTCTGAAACACTTTTTTATTTCTTGTGTCATTTTACAATTTTTACGACTCCATTATGGAACTAACACTATTTGAAATTCACCTTTCAGCCAATTAGATCCAAGTTCACATTTTACGGCGATTTCTCGCCTGGATGCGATGAACTTAGGGAAAGAGATACAGACGGGTGGTGGTCAACTTTCGGGAAGCTGCAGATTTTGTTGAGGAAAGCTGCCGATGAAGCATTTAAAGAGAACAAGTTTACAGCTGAAGACAGACACCAGTTCTTTCAATCTGGTAGGTTTATACATCAAAGGAACTCCAATAAGTTTTGTTTTGACATGATGGGACAGGAAGTATTATACAAGATTTGTGTTCCATTTCATATTCATCTGGACTAATAACGTGCGTGCAAATTTTCAGATAACTCCTGCACCATTTTAATTTGGCAAAATGGCCAATAAAATATGATAAACATGATCAACAAGGAAAGGCGGCGTTCAGTGAAATAAATAGTATAAATATAATTAGCTTTTTCATTGCATTGTTATTAAAAATGATTTAAAGTTATATCATGCTCAGTTTTTCGTTACCGAGTTGAGCTATATATCTAAAGATATATTATAATCATCCTAGAGTAAAATATATTCAAATCACAGAAATTTATTAAGATTAGTTTTTCAAAATTTTTTTGACCTAGAGTCATAAGATTGACAGAACAGTGGCGCGGTGGGGGCACCGTGTCCTATGGACACATTTCTAGTTAATTTATTCATTAATTTTGAATTATAGAGGTATATATTAATACAAATGTATATGAATATTCTTTTTGTCTTTGCAGTGACAGAAAGCGAAATTCAAGATGGAATATTGAAGGCAACAAACGTAGAATCGCATTGTCTTGTTTATAAACGCACATTGAGACATCTGTCTGGAGTCGGTATAAACGATAAAGACACACCCAAATACATTGATGTCATCAAATTGGAAAAGGTATTTTCTTACACAAAATAGAATTATTCATGGCATCTTAAAATTGGATTACAAATATGTTATATTTTGCTTGATTGAGTTTTACGTCACAACGACACAGTTTAGGTTTTATGACACCGTTCCAGCTTTACTGGTGGAGGAAAAACTCAGGTGCCCTTCCGTGCATTTATTCAGCGAGTACCTACGAAGAACCACCGACGTTCCTTAAGTTATCTGGACAGTTTCCGCACATGAAGGAATCCAAAAACCCTGTCTGGATTCTAAATATACAGCGCTAAGGGAGAATGAAATCAACGATTTTAACCATCCGGCCACGGACGCTCCACGGATCAGAAATATTCCGTGTTTGTATCTATCCGTACTTTAATATCATTTGTAATCTTACTTTGTGATGTTTTGATTTGTTTTGTCTTTACATCTTTTATCTATCCTTAAAAGGGGAATGCACTAGACAAAGAAGTTGAGAAGCTAAAAGTTGCACTTTTTGAAGATAAAATTTGCAGGAAGCTCAGTGAGTCAAATATTAAACAATACAGCATTCATTGGATGCCTGGAGGTGTGAACCCTGAAAATTACGAGGAACACAGGGAATACTTAAACACATTTTGCCAGGACTTTATATCCGATTGTAAAACTCTGATACAAAAAGCGGAAGAAGAGAAGAAGAAGAAATTGATTCCATTGTCAAATTATTATACGGATTACAACAGCACAATACATCATTTGAGATTCTGTGTGTCCAAATGTGAATCATTCTGCGGACAGGACAAGGTAAAACATTAATCGTACTTTCTCCTATGTTGTGTATCTGTCACAAAGCCTTCATTTAACTATCATATTTTCCTGTGCCTGCGTAGGCCTTCTACAGATGCTCAATTCGACAGGTAATCAATCTGTTCCGCAAACGTTGCAATCCCTTACAATTGTTTAGTCTCATTTCTTACGATTCGGATGTAAATCTTAAGCAGGTACAAAGGTAATTACATTTAAAAAGCAATTCAATTATCAATATATCCGATTCTTATAGATCAAATGTCCAAATAAATGGCATTTTTCTCGAGTTGTCTTTTCCTTAACTGTCTTATTTAAGCATTTCAATCAGTGATAGAGGACAGTTAATTTCAGACAAAATGGTTTCAGACAAAATGCTTTTACCTCCATCAAAATTAATTGTTTGTATTATTTTCCATTGTAAGTATCAATTACTGCAAAATCATCACAAAAACGTGACATAGTTGTAACAAACAGCATGAATTTATAATGGATGCTATGAAATCATTTAAAATTGCTTATTAATGTATATGTAAAAAACTTAATTAGTTTAATAACATAATCTGTTATAGGTATTAGAAGTTGCAAAATCATACATTTTGGACAAGTCCGGTCGAAAACCTTTAGTACTATACGCCACATCTGGTGTTGGAAAAACTTCAATCATGGCAAAGATCATGGAACAAATTCCTGATTGGCTTAATAATGTTCCTCATCTAAAACTTATAAGGTTTCTCGGAACGTCGCCTCTTTGTTACAACGTTTACGATGTGTTGCTCGATGTTATTGGCCATTTAGCTGACGTGTATGATATAATTATGTCTCCACCATGCTATAAAACTATGAAAAGAATTGTAGAATTTGCACCTAGATTTATAAGACAGGTTGCAAACAACGCAAAAGAACCAATTATAATACTTCTAGACTCTTTAGACCAGCTTGAACCGCGAAACAATGCCTACGCTATGGACTGGCTTCCAATTGTTCTGCCACAAAATGTAAAACTTATCGTCTCGACCCTTCCAAATGAGCATAACATTCTTACAAACTTGAAAAAACGTCTCCCCGATCAAAACTGCTATTTTGAAATACCCGGACTGACCGAGGAGACTGCAAGAAAAATCATAGAAACAAGCTTAAAGGCACAGAATCGCTCACTAACAAAAAGTCAAGATAATTTCTTTTGGACCATATTTAAAGCGACTCACGGTCCCCTTTTCTTGAAACTGCTCCTGGATGAAGCAAAGAAATGGAAATCCTACACGCCAAAAGCCGAGATTGAACTTGTTCCAACAGTTAAAGTAGCAATCAGTAAGCTGTTCAGAAATCTAGAGAATAAGTTCGGTACTGTATTGGTGAGTCATGCACTTGGTTTTATAACAGTAGGAATGATAGGGCTTACCGAATATGAGATTGATGATGCATTATCATGCGATGACGATGTTTTGAATGAAGTGTACAAATTTCATGACCCACCGGTCCAAGGAATTGTTCAAATACCACCTTTATTGTGGGCAAGAATATGGTATGATATCCGAGGATATCTTGTTGAAAGAATATCGCATGGTAAATCGACATTGAACTGGTTTCATAGGGAGTTTGTTATTTCGGCATCCGAAATGTATGCAACAGGAGACAAAAAGTCATATCTCAACATGAAATTGTTCGAAGTATTTCTCCAAGAAAAGGGAATCAAGAGGACGATAGTGCTGGAAAATCGGAACAATTTATTGATCACTGATGCCGACCGACAAGTAACTCCTCAGCCATACAAGTCCGACAATAAACGCAAGCTTGCATGTTTACCATATCATTCTTTACGTTCTTATAAAACAGCAGGAATAGACACAGTTAAAAGAAATGTTTATTGCAATTTCAAGTATCTCTGCTCAAAGATAACAACCATTTCCGCTGCATCAGTTATTAACGATTTGTCAGACTTTATTGAAGCGAGTGATGATGAGGAGGTTCGTCTGCTTTATAACTTCTTTTTTAACTCCAGGCAAGATTTAACAAATCATGGAAAATTGGCCATCTGTTTATTGGCATACGTTAACCCAGAAGAAGACCACTTCCAATTGAAAGAGTTAAGAAATGAGGCAGCTGAGTTTCTGGAGTCTTTAAACAAACCGGGTCTTATTCCTGAGTTTCCATGTCTTGCTCAAAGAAGAGAAGCATCAAATGCATTTCAGTCATCAATTCAAGGAGTTGCAGAAATTCTCTCCTATTCTAGCAGCACTGTTATACTCAGAAAATACTCGGACACAGATAATAAAATAGACGCTGACGATATCAAGATGCCATCACACATTGCTGTTTGGAGTTCAGAAACTCACGACATGATAGATCTTAATATTCAAGTTGACGCAAAACCTGTCGGCGAATACATTATTACTGATGAAAACCTGTATTTCATTACAAAACATGCTATTGTGCGACATGGGTTCATTGACAGCAAATCTGAAGCTGCCTTGTTTGAGGATATATTACCTGACTGGGCAACGAAACAATGTGTGAAAGGTTTTGTCGCAAATTCAGATGCAACCACCGGAGCACTTATTCAAGACCGTGCAATTACCTTGATTTCACTGGAGAAGTTCAAATATATGCAAACATATAAAATCCCAGGTGATAACTTTGTAACAGACCATGCGTTTGTGTCAAATAATGTTCAAAAACTGATAGCGGTCGGTACTATTCATGGCAGTGAAAGCGCTGACAGTAACAGTTTTATCTTGGTGTTTGAAGAAGAGACCAAACTCCCAATTCATTCACTTGAGTTTACACACATGTTCGATGCTAGAAATGGTGTTTTGTCTAGCAAAGATCATTGGTTGCTGGTTCCTTCAGAAACAGATAGTATGAAATCACAAACAGAAATTGAAAAGCCAGAATGCTGCGGGTGTCAGCTTTTGGCATTTGATATCAGAGAAAACCACTTTGAACAGAAAGAAATAAATATAGTTTCACCCATTAGCAAAGTTGCAGTACATCCGGAACGGGGGAAGATTGTTTTTCTAACAAAAAATGGCCGTATGTTTAGCGTGCTCGCAAATGAATTTTCATCACAAGCAGTCATTCTTGAGATGAATTTGAAATTTTCTATAAAAGATTTTGCGGTTTATTGGGAAAAAGAAATTTCTTTGTTCTGTTCGAATGGTGGCCAACTTACCCTGTATGACTTAAAGTCTGACAGCATCCTTCTCACATTTACTGCCCATTGTGGCAAGATAAATGACATTTGTCTTCTAGAGCAACAGCTGATCACATTAGGAGAAGACAAAGAAATGCGGTCCTGGGATATGAAATATCTTATTGAAGAAAGTCAAAATGCCAAAAGTAGGGCAGATAGTAAGAAAATCAAAGAAGCGTTTATTGAGCAATCAGATATCGTCTCTTTGTCACCATCATATGATGGGGATGAGCTTTTAACAGTTCATGATGATGGAACTGTTAAGATTTGGAATTTGAACTCTCAGAAGCTTCTCTGCCAGCGCTCCATTGGAATTGCTGCAGACATTATCCATTTATTTTCAAATAATCTAGTTTCATTTCTTGACACAAGTGTGGGCAGAATGAAAATTTTAGATATCAAAACTTGGATAGAGACTTTTCGAATATCTGAAACAATACAGGGTAATATCCTTAATTCAACAGCTGATAAAAGAGACAATTTATACATCGTTAGTGCACAAAAGACTGGAAAAGAACAAATTGATATCGTCAATATTGGCCAGATGATGATTGTTAAAACCATACATTTACAAAACAGCTTGTCTTACAAAAGTCTCGAAGCAGTTCTCTCTGTGAACGAAAGGTATCTCGTCCTACGTGTTTTGATGTCAGAACGACAATTTGAACAAGTGAGGGAGTTGTATCATCAGCATTTTCCATGGAAGAAAGGTGGTTTTACCGACCAGAACCACCGTTATAGATTTACTGCTGTTGCTTTGTCGGAAGGAAGTGGGGCACTTATACACTGTTATCGCATTGCTGCAAAGGTACCGACCATCGGTATACACGTCAAACCATATAAAGGGAATGTTATGCTGATATCAACACAAAGGTAAAGTATATACTATGTTATACAATACATCTAACGAGTTTTATATTGTATTAATTGTAATATTTCTTGTTGGAAATGCTTATGCAACGCAAAACAAGCATATTCGTTTCGATGTATGGATATGAAATGCATTTTATTAAAAACCTGAACAGAAAACATACCTACAATATAAATAAGGGATAAAGGCTGGTGAGTTCTTTTTCAAATATTTTCTTTCAGTTTATCAACGCCTATCCTACAAGATACTGTGATATAAACATATTAACCCTGTATTACGCTTTGACATACCAGAAATTTTACAATAGTGTTATACATGTTTTAACAGGCAAAGTGAGAAGATAATTAAATTCGCTTTAAGATACCCATGTTCATACCCTATATTGTGTTAAACATCATTTAATGTGTGATGAAGTTTGACTTAATAATGGTTCATGTCTGGACAAATTATGTACTTTCTTTTCGTGTACTGTGTAGATGGATTTTCTTCTGGGACATACCTACTGGTAGATGTGACCGAAAACCGTCGCCTCTCCGGAAAGTACCGATGTTTTCCCGACTTGCCTGGATAGGAAAAGAGTCCATAGGCGAAACAAGGGTATTGTTAGTAACACCAGATCAGAAATATGTAACGACTGGGTCGGATGATGGATATGTTTTTGTATATGATGCAGAGACAGGATTGCCTGTATGCAGCCGCAAGCCACTTTCAAAGCACATTGCAGGGGTAATAAAAGTTAATATGCTTTTGATACGAATATTTTGCAAATGAAAATATAATTATTTTCAATGTTCTTGTATTAGACATCAGTTTTATACACAATGCTTTTCAATTTTATCAATGTAGATATATATGTTGCAAAAAATTTAATCATAAAAGGTTTACTTTTTTGTATTCAAATAACAGCGGATATCGTTATGGTTATATATATTGTTTACAAAGGATCTATGTCCAAGATAAATATATAAAAGGAAAATCTTTACGCTGTTCTTAGACAATATTATTTTTTCAGTATATATTAAGCATTTCTTTTTCTGATCTATTTAACATTATAATATAGATGATATTTTAAATTATCTTTCCTTTTGCAAGGTTCAAAAAGCGGTCGTTTCTCCTGACAGCAAATTCGTCGTTTCTAACTGCAACAATTGTGCCATTAAATTCTGGGACACAGCCACTGGTACCGAGCAGTTTTCAGTGCGTCTAGATGCCAAAGTGAAGATGATGTCGTTTACACCTGATTCTCAAAGACTTGTGCTATTTACTGGAACACATACGTCAAGATTGTTTGTGTTTAAAGTGACGAGTGGTAAAAAGAAATGAAATTCCATTTACCTTCTTCATTTCTTAATTTTGTCAAGCTTCGATGTTTAGAATTTTGTGATATCAAGATGAACATCTTAAGTTTGGCAGCAAATAGTATATTGCCTGGTCAGACTGCAAGGACCAGACCTGACTCTATACTTGTGGCAAAGGCTTTTTCATATTCGGTTGCGAGTTAAAAAGAGTGACATGTCACATAATTCCAACAATTTGTTCCAATAAAAGTGTTTTGCACTGTTTTCGGTGACATTTCTTATTTGATGTCGCATCAAACAGTGTACAAGTATTTCAATAGCAATCATAGTGTAAAATTAAAAATAAAGTAAAAAACATTTAATAATCTCAATTTTCTGAATACATGTATACATGTACAAATATACCACTTGACGAAAGTAAGAACACTTTCTTGATTGGCTAAGTTTTTAGAATTAGTTGATACACTTCCCATACTTTCATAACAATAAAATTGTAATTGTTTCGTTTTGTTTAAAAAATCCAATTATAATATTTTCATAATTCATTTCATAATATTTGAATCCATTATGTAAAGATTGTAAAGTGAATTGGATTATAATAAAATTAAAGAACTACATTAATTGTATCTAGAGGCAGACATTACAAAGTACCGCGAAATAATTATATTGAATGTTGTTGATAAGTGTGAGACACATGTTTTATGACATATATTTGGCTTTGGAAAAATATTATTGTAATGCATCATATCAATGTTAATTCAAAAGTATTTCAAATAATGATAAAATCTTATCCACTTTAGATTTCGACTTTTCATATTAGATTTTCTTTCTGCATTTTGTTTACTTTGTATGCTTCAGTAAATAAAAGCCATGTTGAACATTGGGTTTTATATCTGGCTGTTGAACATTGAGTTAAGCTTAATTGAGTTTTATATCTGGCTGTTGAACATTCAGTTTAAGTTAATTTAGTTTTATATCTGGCTGTTGAACATTGAGTTTAGCTTAATTAAGTTTTATATCTGGCTGTTGAACATTGAGTTTAGCTTAATTAAGTTTTATATCTGGCTGTTGAACATTGAGTTAAAGTTAATTAAGTTTTATATCTGGCTGTTGAACATTGAGTTTAGCTTAATTAAGTTTTATATCTTGCTTTTGAACATTGAGTTTAGCTTAATTAAGTTTTATATCTGGCTGATATCTGGCTGTTGAACATTGAGTTTAGCTAAATTAAGTTTTATTATTGCTGTTGAACATTGAGTTTAAGTAATTAAAGTTTTATATCTGGTTGTTGAATATTGAGTTTACGTTAATTAAGTTTTATACTTTGCTATTGAACATTGATTTTAAGTTTATTAAGTTTTATATCAGGCTCTTGAACATTGAGTTTAAGTTAATTAAGTTTTATATCTGGCTGTTAAACATTGAGTTTAAGTTAATTAAGTTTTATGTCTGGCTGTTGAACATTGAGTTTAACTTAATTTAGTTTAAAGTTTGCCATGCTGGTTTCACAATGTTGTATTAAGTTCTACAGTAGTCAGAAAGTATCATAGTGTTATGAAAAACGTACATGTGTGCAATGTATTTGATGTGTGTTATCAATTGTTATGTGTAAAGGACGTTGAAGATAAGAAAAATGTACATGTGTCCATTGTATGTGTTGTGTGTTATTAACAGTTATGTGTAAAAACTGTTGAAGATAAAAAGTACATGTGTTCATTGTATGTGTTATCAACTGTTATGTGTAAAAACTGTTGAAGATAAAAAGTTCATGTGTCCATTGTATGTGTTAAGTGTTATCAACTGATATGTGTAAAAACTGTTGAAGATAAAAAAGTACACGTGTCAATTGTATGTGATATGTGTTATTAACTGTTATGTGTAAAAACTGTTAACGATAAATATGTATGTGTATAGTACATGTAGTTATTTTCTATTTCATATATGAAAAGAATGACAATAAGAATATTTTAACATTTATGTATATTTTTTAAAGAAAATTATATTTTGAACTGATGCATAGTCACAGATCTCATTAATAAAGTTATTTTTTTAAATAGAGTTAGCTGTATTTCCGAAAGATCACATGTGTTACCAAGATTGTACAGTTGTTGCAAAATCTAGGCATTATATATAATTATAAACTTATTATAGCTCGACTTTTTCAAAAAAAGAAAAAGCTATTAGCAATGTCGACCGTTCACGTTGCCGTCCAAAAACATTGATAATAACTATTTTTAAAACGTTTTAATAGATTGTCTTCATACTTGTTCATGTAGATCAAATTGACCATAACTTAAATTAACTCATTTATGGCCTTGACCTTTTAGGTCAAATTAATGAAATTTACTATATATTTGCTATAGCTGCTTTAACTGGTTATAATTTTATTATTTATGAATAGAATGCTTTTATACAAGAAAATTATATTTTCTCGGAGTGTTCTTTACAACAATATTTTCCCTCCTTTGACGTGTTTGACTTGAGGAGTGTGGCCCCTGCTAGGCGGTTCCTCTTGTTAAAATGCCATTTTGCAATTACACATTGAAATGCTTTTATTGTGATACAGAGTTAAGGCTGGCATTAAAAACATTGTATAAAATATGCCATCTTCCTAAGAGATTTGTAATAGTTATAGTATATTGTATGTGCGGATGATTATCAAATAAATCACTTTAGGACATTGTAATGAATATATCGGTTTAAAACACATATGTTTATGACATAATGGACATCAAACTAGCATGATTTATTGACAAATGAGGTAAAACTGCTCAGTCAGTGCTAAACAATTACCTGTCAGGATACTTAAACTTTTGTTTCCAGATTTTTATACTTCACAACAGCAGGTGTCAAGGGTTTGTGGCAGTTGTAAAAAGTTGCCCCGTACTTCACTTCAGTGTTGTTATATTTTTCTGGCCCATCGGGATCATTGATGCCAGCACTATTAAGTGTTGAGAATTGAGTATCGCTCAATCCAGTGCTAGGGGGCGTGTGGGATGTTGCGCGTATTCATTATCCCTAATGTACAGACTCAATAAAACCGAGTTTGCAATTCTCTTGTCATTTTGTTGTGAATAATGCTTCCGGGAGATCACTTTGTTTCCAGATTATTCCCTGTCCCCTGTCAGGATTCCTGAATTTGCCTCAACCATTCATATTTGCTGATTTTATTTGTTTAGAATTTTATTTTCTCGTAAATAAAGGAATTAAAACCATAATGTAGTGCGTTTTGAGGCTCTAGAACTATATAAGACACTAAAAGGAAGTTTATACTTTAAGAGATGATTAATTTACTTACTTTGTTTCGAAGTTTCTGGCATCAAAAGGGCTGACAAGAATTGTCTACCTTGATTAAAAACTTCAACTTCAAATGCTTATATTCATAAACATATACAAATACTTACAATTTTACTTGTAAAAACAAAGAATGTAATCCTTATTTACCCAAGTCTTAAGTTACTTTCCAAATATTTTTCTGGCATTGCTGTATTTCATAATAATCTTGATGACCAGTATGACCTCTAAGTTTGTCAGGAGGGAAAATTCAAATTTCTGGCAATTGGATTCTTTTTTATCAATAGTTCATTTTTCTAAGCTAGAACCAGAGATACCATAATTGTTTTTGGTCCAGATTAGGTTAAGCATGCAATTTAAGTAGTTATTGCATATTTTGTTATTTGTTAACTTTGTTAATTTACATTATATTTTCCAAAATTATTCCTGTCAAGATAGCTGCCATTTTAAGAAATTCATGTCTTTCCTGCAAGACTGCCAGTGCTCATGGAATGTTATGATTGATCAATTGTGACAGTTCTGGCTGTTTCAGAGTCTATATAAGTAGCCATGACAGGCTGTTTTCAGTTTGCGTTTCCGCTTTAAACCCTGACAGTCGTGAAAACTATTGACAAAAGCATTTTGTAACACTTTTATGGAACTTTCTATAGACCTTTTTACGACGCGGTCCGTTGCTATGAAAAATCGACCGGAATTAGGATTTTCTCGCGCATGCGCAATCTGCGTAGGGCAAGAAAGCCTTCGCCCTACATAGAAATATAGTAAAAGTTCATAGACAATTCCGAGTTAGTTCAAGGTAAACCGTAAAAAATATATAAAATAGCTTTTAACAAATATAGAAAAGATGACTTTATAGCTTTGTGGCGAAGAATGCCATAAAAAGGCATGAAAAAGATACTAGTTTAAGAATTTACGATCACGGAACTGACACTGACACTAAATAACTCATTTATGACCTTGACCTTTTAGGTCAAATTAAAAATTGTGCTATATATTTGCTATAACTGCTATAACTGGTTATAATTTCATTTCTATGAGCGGAATGCCTTTATATAAGAAAATTATGTTGTCTAAGAGTGTTCTTTACAACAATATTCTCCCTCCTTTGACGTGTTTGACTTTAGGAGTGTGGCCCCCGCTAGGCGGTTTCTATTGATAAAATACACATTGAAATGCTTTTATTGTGATACAGAGTTAAGGCTGACATTAAAAACATTGTATAAAATATGCTATCTTCCTAAGAGATTTGTAATAGTTATAATAGTATATTGTAAGTGCAGATGATTATCAAATATATCACTTTAAAAATTGTAATTAATATATCAGTTTAAAACACATATGTTTTATGACATAATGAACATCAAACTAGCATGATTTATTGACAAATGAGGTAATAATGCTCAGTGCTAAACAATTACCTGTCAGGATACTTAAACTTTTGTTTCCAGATTTTTATACTTCACAATAGCAGGTGTCAAGGGTTTGTGGCAGTTGTAAAAAGTTGCCCCGTTAGGTTAAGCATGCAATTTAAGTAGGACTACTTTATTGCATATTTTGTGATTTGTTAACTTTGTTAATTGACAATATATTTTCCAAATTTTTTGGCGAAGAATGCCATAAAAAGGCATGAAAAAGATACTAGTTTAAAAATTTACGATCACGGAACTGACACTGAGATCACTATTTTAAAGAAGATATTGAGATATATATATTAGCAAATGAAACGTCAAATTATTTGCTGTTGAGATAGTTCATTTAAAAACAAAAGAAATTATATATAATGAAATGGAAATAAATTATCATTCAGAAAAATGTCAGAACAGGTGATAATGCATTTTTAGTGTTCAATATACTTTTTATCCTTTATCCGATTTGCCTGTGATGCAAACAGAAAGATTTAAGGCACATAAATAGATTTTAAATAATAGATTTTTTTTTCAAAATCTTGAGATGTTAAGATGGGTTGTTTGGAAACACACGTTTTATCCGCTTCTTCGTAATACATGTTATTTCTAATTATGCACGTGACACAATTTTTCTCTTCTCAAAATCCATAAACATTGATCGTTATATTCAAAAGTTACGTAAATTACCATTTTAATAAGCGTAACTGATTAACTATATCATGATATTTAAACGTCCCGGTTCAATGAACAAACGTTCGGATGCCAATCTGTTTGACACTTGCCGCCTGACTAATACAGTTATTAAAAGGAAGTGTACAATACAAATTGTGTAATATTATGTTATACAGGGGTAATAAAATTTTATCTTTAACACCCTGCTGTTTCAATTTAAATTAATGATGGAAAAGTCGTCTAATGATACCTTAAACAAAGATATGTGTGTGTCCGTTTTGACAATTGAATTATTACTCCCGCACATTTTCGTAGATCTCTTAAAAAATAAATTC